GTATTTTCATAGTCGAAAAACACTTTCAGGAGATTGTGTACCTTTTGTTGGTCTGTATCCGGTACAAGCAGTATCATATTCTGCTTGTATCCTCAAAATTATCCAGACTGTGTTATTTCGCTTATTTATGCTACTGCTCTCTGCATCATCTTACCGTATTCCCATGTATTGTGCCCCATTCACCGCATATTTCCTGTTGTTTTACTCAAATAACCGAGTAGAATAACTGATGGTGAGTACTGAGTACTGACTAAGTAGAAACCTTGGAATACGTTTTATCATACGTGTACTGGAGTACGTACGTAGAATGCGATGGTCAAAACGGACCGATGTTACACAGAATCAAGAAATTGCCAGAAGATGTGGTTAGGAGTGGTGGCCACCATGACTATGTGCATTTGGTGGCGGTGACCGACGAATGGACACCGCGAGTGACGTGGGGTGTGAGTATATACGGCCACTGTGCATATGTGCGTCTGTTATTAAAGCCACCGTGCAAATGTGCATTTCGCGGCGGTGTGTATGTTGCGGCGGTGTGCGGTGCACGGCGGTGCGCGGTGCAAATGTGCATTTCGTGACCGACGAATGGATGCTGATCGGATTTTGCATTAGCGCTGAAGATAAAGGACCTTCGCTACGCTGCGGTCGATTATTTGGTTATGTTATTAATAGCCAATTACAGCCGTCAATCTCGCAGGGGCGCCGGCGATACACGGCCTGGTTGGAAGCCGGGCGTCCGAGTGATCACGTCATACGCTGGAGTCTACTTGGACATGCCGATTCCGTTCCTGCGCTTCCGCTGCACGGACACGCCCCGCCGAGTAGTGTCGCCGTTGCATCGCCACCGTCAACGACAACTGTCCGGCCGTTGGTGAGAGCATCCACGCCAAAATAATGAACGTACATGGGCGCTGGGTGGAGGCGTTGGAATCACCCGCCCCAATGGACCGGGAGTTCCTCACTCTGTGAGTTATCCCATGCATGAGCTTTGTTCGTTTGCGTATAACGAGACGGATCCTTGTTCATTCAGGTTCAGCGGTGTACTTCCTGGCGGCCATCTGCAGCACTGGGATGGACGTGCTCAGTCCGTCAGGTCCGCACATACTCGACAATCACTGTGCAGACTGAGGCACATATTATGGAAGCAGTATGGGAAAATCGTGCATCTGTTGCAGCTACAACTATACATGCATCGCTGCAGAATTCGTGTTGTTTGCACCGAGCGCGAGCCGCGTGGTGTTGCAATAAGTCTTCGTCAAGAGCATAAAATTTGTCTGAAGCCACGAAGAGCGTACGTCACGCTTTTCCAATTCCACAATCCCAGAACCATTGCCCAGTGGTAAATAATTTTGCGCTCGCGCTCGTGCAACAGTGTGATTCGCAACCACCGCTAGTTATTACTGTTACCATAACTACGCTTTACTATTTCTAGTTGTACCGTTTATTTTATTTATTTGTTTTCTTATATTTCCAACCTACACGACTAATCCTTGGATGCGGTAACCAGCATTTGCAGTTACTATTATTAACCAGCTGCACAACAAACCTAACTATCATACGTGGTGCTGATATCACCAAATACTCAAACACGAATTGCGTTTTTTTCGGAACACCTGGAATCCGACAAAAACACAAACAATCGTATGACGGCAGCCGACTAGCGGGGCGCCATCCACAATTCGCCATCCACAATTTCACTGTACGATGTGAACCGCGAAAACGAGGCAGCACGATCCACGCTGTAGCGTGGTATTTGTGCAAAAGAGTGCGAAATTCCTACGGCCCGGCAGCCTCGATTATTAAGTAATGTAAAATTTATTTACCGGAACGGATAGCACTGGAATGAACCCCCTAACTATCCTTACTAAACTAAATTGTACTGCGACGATATTATTCACGTAATGTAGACTGTGCCATTTTCTTCATTTCGCAGACGGGTCAACAACGTGCCCGATAAACAGGACTGTGCCGGTTTGCTCGTGCCGCAGCAGGAACATAAAGGGTCGATCGGCGGCAAATTCGACGCTGGTCCGGCGTGGCGCACTACAGTATACAAATCTCTCCGCTGTTGCCGCGGACGCAACCGTTCCTCTCTCACTGACATCTGAATAAACATAGTGAACAACTCAGATACAGAAGCTGATTCGTTCTGGGCCTCTGGCGTGTGTGATTAGGAACAATTTCGTAACCCGTCGTTGTTATTCAGTAACAACCGGATACGAAATTACACTCAGGCAGAAATGACCTGATACGAAATTACACTCAAGCAGAACCGACCGGATACGAAATCACACTCAGGCTGAAATGACCGGATACGAAATTAGAGTTATTCCAATTGTTCATTATAAAAAAAAACGTTAAAAAAACTGAGTGGGCAAAATTTACGGCGGTCGTTTAGGCTGCCCCTGGTCGTTTCGGACGGTTTAGGGGCCAAAACGAGCGGCGGACGTCTGAGACGACCAATCGTTCTGAAAAGGTTGCACATGTGCAACGATGAAATTGCAACGGTGCGATTCATCACAGCATGCACAAAGTCTCCAGAATAATTCATACGACAATAATCACAAGAATAATAGTACTACTTGTTACTAACAGCGATAAATTTTTTTCAGCAGTAATAGCTTAGAAAAACTAAGAAAGTGAAAAAAAGCCTTAGAAATACAGTAACTTAAAAAACTTAAAAATCTGGGAAAACATAAGAAAAATCTAAAACTACCTGAGAAAAACAAGGAAAAGCCTGAAAACTACATAAAACCTGTGAAAACTTATCCAAACTTTTTATCGTGCTTACCTATGTAAACCTTGTGTTTAATCTTGTCTATGCAGATGGGTGCCGACGTTATGCCGGAGAAGTCGGCAGTGGTTTTGAAAGCCGACCGCATTCCCAGATCCTGCAGCGTGCTCTCCAGGTCGATGCTCTGCTCTATGGAGAACTTCGGCAACTGGATTGTGCCGTACCGGCCCGTACGTGATGGGCTGCAGCGAGTCCAGCGCCTTTTCCAGCATCATCGGCGTCAAGGCCTGCTGGAGACCCGACAATGCGGAACCGGGTGTCCACGTGGGAGATCCATCGTTCTTTCCCGGCAGAAAGAAGCAAGTGCTAGAGCGCTTGTCGCCGTACCACAACTGCATGCAGAAACCGCGCGCCGCCTAATTCTTTACTTTCGTAATACTGGCAGTCCATCAACACGTGCATGGTATCCACCATCACGGTGCGGCCGTCGGCCAGGGTGAAGGGTTTCTTGACGGTGCCCCGCTCGGGAAACACACGGTTCCATTCCGCTTGAAAATACACCGCGCTGATCAGTATAAACGCCGTATCGGGCGTTATGTCCGAAGGAACCAGTATATCGCGGATGGTGCCGGAAGTAGAATCCTCCACAAGTTTGTTTATGCGCTCCACGGCTTCAATGGGTTCGGCGCGAAAGCGCGCAGGATGGCAGACGGTGTTGAACAAGGTGCGCAGTGTCGGTGTAAGTGGTTTTGATGGGAAAATCTTCGTCAACGTATCAATTCAAAAACATACACTTTGGAGGCGCGTCGTTTTGGTCAGCGTTCCTTTTTATTTCCGTCAGCAACGCGGCAAAGTGCTCCAGCGTGTAGTCCTCGCTGAGTCCCAGTAAATCAATCATTTGTTGTCGCGTTTCCCCCTTTGCATAAACGCAAGCCATAACAAGAGCGAGTTCCGCACAGAGCGGCGACCACAGCGCATTAGTTTCCTTGGATCCTTGCGCACAAAGACGTTTGTAAACCTTTACACAAAAGTCCAAACGGCAATCAGTACCCATGCTTATGGTATCGGAGTTTGGAATAAAGCAATTATATATGTATATGTGTTCCGTCACAATTTCCGTGAAGTAGGCGAAAGATGAGTTAAAGAGATCAGTTTGTTAATGATCAGGCAGGGAAAAATCAGTCTGCCATCATAAAATGTACTGCAACCTAAAACACTACAAAATTTGATACTGAATATACTAAAAAAATACTGCCAGCGCTGAACGCTCTTAGATATGATTCCGGTTTGAACATGACCCAGGAGATTGAGACTGGATTGCTGTTTATACATGAGATAAATAGGCATGCCACAAGATGGGGCGGAGTAAATCTTCCTTGCTCACACATCTTGCACGTACACATTCTCTCTCTCGCCGTGTCGCATGCTCATGCGAAGATTTTTTTTTTTATGCGGATGATAGCAGCAAAACCGGCTACTCTCACCATGATTGTATCGATCGATTTTTGTTTTTGGGTTGTGCGTAACCGCCACAACGCGTCCAGAGTGGTGCAGCATCTTGGAATGGCTACATTATTCTAACCTGAAAGTATTTAAACCGTATTTAATGATCAGCTCATGTTGCAAAAACTTTTGCTTTTTGCCGGAAAAGTTACCGCCCTCAACTCGGATTTTGAGCAAGTACAAATTACTAGACTTATATCCGTTTCCTTCGTCTTGGATGGAATTTAAAAACTGTACTGACTATTGATGAGCAACACGTATACAACCTGCCAAACCATGCCTCGATCCAATGGGTCCGGAGTACATCGGCCGTAATTAGAACCGCAAATATTCCCTGTTCAAATAGGTTTGGCGGAATATTTATCCGGATTGCCGGCAAGATTTTTGCCGGAACTCTTGAAAAATATTCTGCCCTTTCCAAAAACAAATATCAAACTTGGAAAGTTTTGCCATATTCCCAGAAGAGCGGGTTGTTCATCTGTCCGGTAGGTTTCACCGGATACTGGGATTTATTTTATATATATACGCACTTCATGGTCTAGAAACTGCGATTTAGATAAACATGATAACAATTACGGGGCCACCTAATAAATGTAGTACTCGCATTCCTGCTACGCTGCGGTTATGCAGTGCGCGCCAGATTCCAGAAGCGAGTGCACTTTTCTAATTTATCATTTCCTTTGGAGAATCTTGGTTAATAATATCTGTATAATCTTTGGCGTCCGCCACTTTAACGGCCGCAACAACACCACAGACGACAAAACCCCGCTTCGCTTGTTGGAGAAACCAGTCATGGAGGATTTCGGTCGGTGAAGATCTTTCAGAAGAAAAAATCGCGGTGTCACAAAATTGTTGCCTCGGAACATTTCTGGGTTTCGGGACCGTTCCGCGTCCCTAAGAAATGAGAATGCTGCCTTAAGAACTGCGTGGATGGTGCTGGAAATTACAAAGGCATCGACAGTATCTTCAGCGGCATAGCGCTCAATAGTAACCTTTGGAAATCAGACGAGTCGCTGTTCCAGTTGTACCGAAGCGATCCTACAAGTGTAGCTAAAACCTGACTTGCTGATGTAGCGCTTCGAGGAAGCTGGTGACGGATACATTGAGAATAAACCGTAAGTCGTAAGACTATCAACGTCAGTGTGAATGAAAATCTGCGACCGTAAGAATAAGGACATTTAACTACTGGCTCGGTTTCTTAGGCGTACAGATCGTTGCGTACCTTAAGAACCCGACGATTTAATTCTGAAAGCAAAGAAAGAAAAAGCATACCAAGCTTTCAGTGATTCTGACGTCACGCTACGCTTTTGGTATCACACAGACAAAGGTTGAACGGACTAGACTAAATTAGAGCCTTCCCGTTGTCACGAAAGTGACATGAGTTCCTGGTTATAATTTTTCTCTCATTCTATGAATAATAATTTATTAGTAGAAAGAAGCTTAATAAATGATTTGGCCCGGTACGTAGTAGCAAATTCGGGTATATACACGGGAACGTTCTCTGTCGCGCACTCCTAAACACTTTTTTTGCATTGCTTTATGATATTTTGTAGCCAAAGGATTCGTATATATTGGCGAAATAACCATGTACCAAAAGTCTGATTATGAACCGATGCTTTTCAAATTTTGCACGAAAACACACATTAATATGAAGATCGTTTTGGTACCGAACCAGCTTTCTACCATTTTTTTCAAATTCTAAAATGAATTTCAAAAGTTTTTAAAATTATTTAAAATTTGAAAAAAATTATAGAAAGCTGGTTCGGTACCAAAACGATCTTCATAGTACAGTAAAATCTGTGTACATTGAACACCTACGGTTCCTTTAAAAGTGTTGAAAGTAGACGAGTGTTCAATATTCGCAGTAGCTGCCCTGGGCACCAACTTGGGGGGCCCCCGGGGGCAGCAAGACGGACCCCCAAAGGCAGCTATCGGGGGTCTCCCTTTTGTGATGTTCAATCTCACAGATTTTACTGTAATGTGCGTTTTCGTGAAAAATTTGAAGATCGGTTCATCGGTGCATCGGTTCATCCGTGCATCGGTTCATAATGAGACTTTTGGTACACCTCCGCGCGTTTAAACTTATGGAATTTTATTTCGCTAATAACTTACGAACCGGATGTTGCGCTCAAAAAGCAACCCAAAAAAGTGTTTGGGAGTGCGCGAAAGCCAATATTCCCCTCAATGTACACGAATGTAGTGCTATGGACCTTTCCAAATCCCTTAAGCGGTGACACTATGCCACTCACGCCGGCGTTTATACGGGGAAGGGTAAACTCCCATTAAACCGGACGGGAGTGGTGAGGATGTACCACTCCTGCTGCGTGGTGTCGGAGCGTGCCCAGCACGCCAGCTTGGCTCCGGTGTGGTTCGGCCAGGGCACGTGCAGCGTCAGCGTGGAGGCGCAGTGCAGGCGGCCGTCGGCGCCCGTTATCTCGGAGTAGGTGGTGTGGATCATCAGCGTCTGCCGGTCTTTTTCGATACAGGCCGTCTGCTGCAGGTAGTGACCCGGCGGCCAGGCCAGGTACATTCCGCGGTAGCGCCAGATGAAGTGCTGCGCCGGATTGGGACCACAGGGGAAATCCAGCTGACAGGTCACCGCGAACGGCATGTATCGCGGCACAGTGACCTCCGGCATTAACTGCGCGTACACCTCGTGGACATCGGGAAGAGGTTTGGGGAAGACCCAGTGTTCTGCTTGCAGGCAGAACGTTCCTAATCCGGAGTTCGGACAGCGCTGGTGGCACTCGAACTTGCCCCACGCCGCGTAGGTGACGTTGTGCAGGATCAGGGCGTTGTCATGAGCGCGGCTGTGGCGAACGGCTCCCGTCGTCTGGTTAAGGGGTAACTGGTGACCTTTGTGTTTCCACACCACATCATTCGGCTGACTTGATCCAACCGCACACGGCAGGCTGATCGTCTCGTCCAGGTAGGGACGGTGCACGTGACCTTTAGGGTCGGGAGGGGGCCTCGAGAGCTGCGGCAGCCAGACAGGATTCTTCCCCCGGTGTGCCTGCTCCGCTTGGATGATTAGATTCCACGCTGTGGATACGAGAAGATGTTAGTTGGCAGTTTAGCGTTCAGATTACGTAGCAGAAGTAAATGCACATAATATTGTGTTATGTTGGCGGAGAGACAATCCTGATGGGCACTAATCGGAATCCAGTTTGTCGTCTTATACCGGTGTAGTTCCAGCATGTCTCCAGTGCCGCCGTAAGACGATCCAGTGCGCCCAGCATTCCGGAAAGGCTAGTCTCCCGTTTTGTTGGCACAGCGTTCACGAGTAAAATACCCGCAGAAGCCAAGAAAAACAACGCGAAATCGCTTATCGCGGCACAAGCCATCGTTCTGCCCTGGTTTTTTGAACAGGTTGATTTTATTAAAGTGAAATCATCAGAACTGGTAAATTTTTGCTAAGCATAGGAGTAATAAGCAGAAAACACGAAGGCTGCACCGGCAAACCCCGCTGCAGTAAATGTGAAAGCATAAATCAGTAAACGGTTTCGGCTTAGAGAGGTATGGTTTCCGTACCGTACGGTGGTGCCGCTTAGTAGAATATTTCATCAACACTTTTGTTGTCAAGGTGACAGTTGGGAAAAATAAATGAAAGTCGTGAGTCTATTCGTAGTTGTGTTAATCGCCGTAGATTTCCCGTTGTAACGAAAGTGACATGAGTTCCTGGTTTATAATTTTTCTCTCATTCTATGAGTAATAATTTATTAGTCAGTAATAATTCACTTCACTTTTGCTCACGTCGAGATCAATCAATAAATTTAGCACTTTTACTCACGTACGTGAACCATTGAAACCCGACCGGGCGTTTGCTTTACTGCACAGTTACACGATTACCGTATGCTACCGTGACCTTTTTAAAACTACACCTTATGTTTTATTAAAATCATGTCGAATCGCGACATTACTTACGATTTACAACCGGATTTTACCGATTATGTCCAAAAAGTTACTGACATATTGACTGCCCTCTGCACACAACTGGCGAAAGATATTTGCGAATATCTTCAACAATCTTATGAGAAACGTGAACAGTACGAAGAAGCTTCCTCGAATATTCCTGGGGACAAAAACCTGTATGCCGCGGACTGCAATACCTCCAGTTTAGACCGTAATTCTGCTTTTAAATACGTCAAGTCTGTCGGAATCCAATGCCACATTAACGCAAATGCCTCTGCCGACACCACCATGAAATCTGGATATTCCACTGTTTTCCCAACTATCTGCACCATCAAAATCGGCTATAAACAGGACTGCTCTACGTGGAAATTCACCGACTTCTTCCCAAACGGTAAGCGGAAAAGAACAAAGTTCAAATCGACGAAGCATGGTAACCACGACCACGAAATTGCGCCTCGCTGCCATGCTGACGAAAATTACTAATGTGTCTTCGTGAACTTATTGGCAACTTAACATATCGCATGATTCTTAACCTCGTACTGGCTTTGTCTTGCTTCTGGTATCTGATTAGTGATTACTCATTGCACAACCTGTTTAATTTACGGAATTATGTAAAATAATTCAAAATCTGATGTGAACTTCACTCTGACAGTAATGCATCACCAAGACGAAAGATAAAACAAATTCATCGAAAATTAATCCTTATACAGTAATAGGAAAATTACTTTTGATTAAAATCACCGGCTGCGAAATGAGAAGCATTGTTAGCGAAAAGTTGACAGGTTTGTTTGGCGGTAAGAAACTCATCAGTTGTCTGAGATTCGAAATAGAAGTCCAGCATGAATAATATTACATACTCCCACAGCTAAAGAAATTGCCCGGGCAAAATTTACGCAGTGTTCAGGAACAACGAAATGTTCATCTGTCCGGGCGGTTTTACCGGTTATAGATTTTCATGTACTTCGTAACGCCCACGTTAGTAAAATGGATTTTACGAAATACAGCAAAAATCAATAACCAGTAAAACCGCCCGGAAATGCCGTACTCAGAAATATAGTATTTGGAACTCTAATCTAATCGATAATTGTAAACATCGTATGATAGACTAATATCGCCAACGACCTAATGTGAATAATCTATCATATAATCCTGCTACGCTTCGGTCATGCAGTGCCCGCCAGAAACGAATGCACTTTCGTAGTATTATACAAATAAAGAGGCGGGAATAATCTTAATTACTTTCCGCCAATAGGAAATGAAAAAAAGCCCATGAGAATTAGACAGAAAGGTCATCTCCGTCAGGAAAGCGGGCATTGCGGTTAGTTTTTGGTAAAATTTTTACAGCGCATCGACGGCGACAGCAGAATGATCCCCTGCCGGATCTTGCACAATGCTGCTCTACAGGGTGCTGTTCTTGGGAGTAACCATCAGCGTCGTCGTCTGCACGACCCATTCATGGAGGTACTGATGCGGCCGGAACCAGCACTGGATGTATCCTTCATCGGCCAGTTTGACGGCCCGGAAGTAGAGTCTAACGTGTTCCAGCTGGCCCGGGCTGTTGGCCGACCCTCCCAAGTAGTACGGCTCAACGTCACGCGGTCCTTCCGTTCTGGGCACCAGACCCCGGTAGACAGCCTCCCACGGACCCTCCACGACGCGACCATTGTGGACCCAGATCAAATGGTTGCGCAGTTCGAAGAAGACGTCCTCCGGTACGGGCAGCCGGATGCTAAACTGCACCGCGACAGCCTCGCCCTCGATGGCGGTCACGACGGGGCGTCGGGCGCGGCGAAGACCTCGCTGCGCTGCGTGATCAGCGGCAGCAACAGGAAGCGCTGCAGGACGCGGCGCTCCGTATTATACTCGGGGCCCTGGGGCTCGATGACGCAGCGCACGTTGCCGCCGGAACGCATAGTGACGTTGCGGACGACGAAAATCAGAGTGTGATTAACGCGGGTGAAGTCGTAGGTCTGTCCCGTGGTGTCGCCGTCCCGCAATGCCTGCGGCTCTCCTGCTTCGAAGACGGACCAGTCCTGGTGCAGCCAGGCCACGTGGCGCCAGTCGACGTCGACGGGGACGCTGCAGTGAAACACCGCGTCCTCCCCCAAACGCGGTCGGGACACCACGCTGTCCGGTGGGGTGTCGCTCGGAGCCAGTCCGGTCAGCACGATGCGGTCTTCCTGTCGGTTATTCAGCAACGCATCCGCCAGCATGTCGCTCACTATCAAGTAACAGGTCTGTCAGTTTCATTTTATTACGTCTGTCTATCTCATTTGGGGCACGGTATTTATTCAAAACACTATCGCCATTCTCCTGTGAGGCGAGAAGCAGCTCACGTACAGCGACAAAGTGTTTCAAATGATTTCAACGTATTGCGCCGTGGTGCAGTGGTACTGTCTACGCGGATCTAACGACTTTGCCGGGGTTCGGAACTCCCATCGGTGCCTTTTTCAGCCGTTTCTCGGTTTCCACAGGATTGCGCCCTGCTTAGACGCCATTCACTGCGCCGCTCCTGCGTCTGCCTCAGTTAGATTCAGACACAGTCACACAGACGTTGTTTTAAACTGACCTTATGTTACGGTCTGACTTTATGCTAACTTGTTTTAAAAAACCAGGAGGAGTTTGAACATGTCCCTTTAACAAAAAAATAAAAATAAAAGTTCGAATTTCCCTCGCAACGCCAAGCAACACCTTCCCCTGAAATCAACTCCAAATTCATTGCAAAATAATGACACTCCTAACTTATTTTTGCTTCGACACACCGGCCCTGTGACATATTTTTAAAGTTATTAATCTTTCTATCAAGCATCCTTGATCAAATAAATTAACACGACGTACAGCGCGTTGAAAACGACACAAATGCGTACAGCTGCATTTTAGCCAGAGACCTGACGCAGGTGGGCAGTCGGAGTGCCTTGTTCCGAAAAGAATACTCATCCCACAGATCGGCGAAAAATTAGGGGAAAATCTATTTGTCTTTTTGATAATGACGCAGTACTCACGGTTGACGGGTGCCGAGTAGGGAGATGATGAGGGACATCCCGCCGAGCAGTGCAGCAGCACCAAGAAACACCACCAGAGGCATGCTAGACTACCTGTTTTCCAGCAGGGAGACATCGCAGCGGCGGCCAGCACAATAACCATACCTGGAGGAAAATGGTTAGATCTCAAAAATACAGCAGAGAGACCAAGCTATAGTAAATAACGGCTTAGTTAATTAAACTAGACAATTGAGGTTGTTTCCTCAAATTAATAACCAATAACCCACGACAGCAGGCTGTCAGCGTCACCAACCGCACGTGCCGCTGGTCCAGGCACCAAGAAGAAAGACCTAGGGGCGTAGTGAGCTGACCAATGGGGCGGCTATCCCCTGCATCAACGGATATTGGCATCAACGGATCAGCGCAGAATCCAGCGAGGCAGCGCCTCAATCATTTGCAGATTGTCGTTTCCGTCCAGTTCAGCCACTAGGCCCACTACTGAAAATTAGTTTCCCCTAATTTATTAAAATTTGTTTAATTCAGTTTAAAGAATCCCCAGTTAATTTCTACAATTATGTTTATGCTTCGTCTACTGTAGTAGCTGTTTTGGCTTAATTGAGGTTTAAACGGTACATTCATCGAGTATCTGCGTTAATTTTGCAAAATTGAAATCTCACTAAATTAAAGGTGGGCGCGCCGCCCTCATCCGGAACATCCGGGTCCCGTCATCCCGGCGATCCTGCGCGGGATGGAGCCGGTTGTTTGTTGGACCACCACGTCATTAGCCGACAGGTTAATTTACCTTCAACTGGATTTTTAAAATTTTATTCTTTTTCCCATTTTTTTTTATTTTTACTTCCAGGTAAAATTTTTTCCCGTTATTTCCCTTACTTTCTATATTTTAAGCTTCCCAAATTTAGTTGCATTTTGATTTCGGTAACGCATTTATTGCCACTGTGAATTTGTCATCGGTATTAGGTAATATAATTCCTGGGTTTCTAATGCGTACGACTCGTTATTGGCCGAAAACTGAAAAGCCAAACACTGACGCGCAGCCGTGGTTCGCTTTTCAAAAACAATGCGAAGGCGACGGCATGCCCATGGCTTAATTCTGCGAAGGTAATTGTGAGGTTCTGTGGGCGGGCCGGACTGTGGCCGCCAGATGACAGGTTCGGCTCACTTCGAGAAAGCAGTATGAACTGTAAACGATTGTACGTATACGATTGCATATTATGGTCACCGGTCACTAACACCACCACCCATGTGGTGCGCTACAGCAATAGATGCGGACCGCACAACGTGCTTCTGATTTGGTTGGCACTGGGACTCTGTAGTCATTAAAACAAAATAAAAATGTTGGAATTCAAATCTCTGAAATTTGTGCACGTGGAAGAGCGGTTGTTGTGCATTGCACCCGGTCCACTCCCTGTTCCTACTTTGGTTTTTTATGGAAATTGTTTTGAGTATTATGAAGAAATCTCGGTTAGAGATACTGAATAAATATGTAATAACATTATACCATGGGCATAGTGCATCTATGACAGAAAAATGAGAATCCTCAAAATGGCGAAAGATTATCGAAGTGGCTATTTTACCCCAGTCTTTGTGGCAAAATACATAGCTTTTGGCTATTTTGCCCCAGTATGAGGGGTGAAATAGCTTACTGCTATTTTGCCCCACACTGCGCGCAAATAGTCTTCAGCTGTTTTGCCCCAGTACAGTCGGCAGAAAAGCCTATTGTATCAAACATTGCGCTTGGATAGTATCTAATTAATTTGTCGCAGTTTCGAGGGAAATATTGCTTTGGATTTGGTCATTACGATTTACAATCACGCGCCTTTGATAGTTTTCCGCTGTATCGGTGCATTGCTGGATCTTTCTGCTTAACAGCCGTCGATGTATGTGAGAATGCCTTCAAGTACTAGTAATACTTTCGGGATGAATGCGGCTAGACCGCAGTGAACGCGTTCGGCTGGGCCCAGCCGGCCACTGGGGCACATTCCGACAGCTGCGCGATTGGCAGACTAAGCAAAGAAACAGCTCATTATACGCATTCGCATCCCGTTCCCATTCGGGCAAGGCCGGTTGAAAATTCAAATGCGTAATGTTTTCTTTGTTGCTTTCAACTCTATGTGTACTGTTTTAATAAAATTTGCAGATGCGAAACTGGCGCCTCCATGCGCTTTCAGTATGAATTGCATATTATCAGAGTTTGACCTTTCACGCTTTCACTATCACGAATCGTCGACATTGTAAATGGATCAGAAAACGGGTGCACAAGCGATTTGTGCGCATGTTATCGTATGGTATGTTGATAACGTACCCGGCCAGATAATAATAGTTTTTCTTGAAAACGTTCCTGCTTCGAAAGCTAAAGCAGAATTAGTTTGGACTGCATTCACCAAATGCAACTAATTAGTAATCCTAATTAATTACAATATTAAATTATCTTGACTGTTTAACCAGACAACCTCACCCGGAAAGCGGAATGAGGATGATAGCCTGGTCGTTACTCGCACCAATAAGAGGTCCGAGCGCAGCGTCAGATGTGTGGCCCAGAACATCAGCATCCATGTCCCAATGGACACGGATACCGCACCGCCCTCATTGGACCCACCGGCCCGAGTTGACGCCAGTACCAGTGCAACGGACTTTGATCCATATAAATACGCCGCAGACCAAGGCGTTAACATCCGGCCACAATACCTTCAGGGGCCGGCACAGAGACTACCGCTTCCGTCAACCTGACGCCCACGAGGACGGGGCCGATGAGTTCGTTAACCGAACGGCTACACGGAAACTTCCAACGAAGTTTCGCCGACAACAGCCAGGCCGATCGTCCTCGCAGAACCAGACTTCGGCTGAACAATCCGGTCCAGCAGCCCAACCGGCTAGCGCTTCCAGTCACCAGGACCAAGAGGAACTGGCGCTTATGGAAGAAAGTGTTGTCGACCCACTACACCCAGAACGGGCCGACGACCGCCATGACGACGGAGATGCGCAGGAATAGGCCAACGGCCATTCCTGCATGTCGGCCCTAGAAGTGGACCGACATTGGCCTAGAAGTGGCCTTGGTCCCTAGAAGTGGGACCATAAAGCTGAAGCGGAACTTTGACCACCTTAATGGGTAAAATCCAACGGTTGTTACCCTCGCCCAACAAACGTGGCCTACGGCCATGTAATGTCAACTTTACTGGACCTTAATCCCTGGATCTTAACCGGATTCCCCGGATTGGCTCTAGCTTAGCGGCTGGGACCATGAATTTGGCCTGGCCATCCCAGACCATCCGACGGAGTCCACCGGACCGAACTTGGCGCGAGCTAAGTTCCCCGCCACGGAAGAGATTCAGCGCCCAGAATATGGCGACGGCCCGCCGAGAGGTTGCGACAAGCCGTGGACAAGTCTTGGCCCATAGTAGTTGGACCAGGCCCGCTATGCGTCTAACGGACCATGAGCGGCTCATGAGTCTAGTTGCCATACCAGGTAACTGGGACAAGTGAGTTAGTGGGAGCCACATAGAAGTTGTGGTACACCCACTTTTGCATGCACCGCCCAGAGGCAAAATCAAAGATTTTACCACTAACCGCCAAAGAGGCGAACTGAAGACACTCCCGCCCAGAGAAAAGACCAAAGATTTCCAAGACCGGCTCCTCGTGGTAAACGCCTACCGGCGCCCACAACTTAATTTTTGGAGTTTGGCCCGGCTAACCTGATGTTTCCATCGGAGCCACCGTTTGGACACGAGCCACCACTTTGGTCTCGACCAGCGTTTAATTTTTATGGCCACGATCTTGGAGAGACAAAGTCAGAAGACCGTACTTAGGCGCATGACCCAACCGGGTCCATGGCCACACTTAGGCGCAGGACCAAACTTGGGTCCTATGGCCAAACTTGGGCGCAGGACCAAACCTGGGTCCTATGGCCACACTTTGGTGCATGACCAAACCGGCATGCAAGACCCAACTTGGACTAGGACCAAACTGGTCCAAGTTGCAGACCCAAGTGGACCACCCTAACGGGACCGGTTCAACAGAGGCAAGTCAAAGACCGAGTTTGGACCGGGTTTGGTCCATTACACCATTTCGGTCATAGGGACACAGGCCCATGGCCACACTGACGCGCGCGACCCAACCGGGGCGCGCGGCCACACTTGGGCCCATGACCCAACTTGGGTCCATGACCAAACTAGGGCCCATGACCCAACTTGGGTCCATGACCAAACTAGGGCCCATGACCCAACTTGGGTCCATGACCAAACTAGGGCCCATGACCCAACTTTGGTCCATGACCAGACTCGAAGAAGATACTTGTGTAATTGTAAGTGTAGAGTCCCAAACCTTTGTTATACACCGCGTGGCAGGTATGCCTCGAGGAAGGTAATATTTTTTAGTAATTTTACTCACAGTTGAAAATGTTGAAAAAATTCTGCCGGCGCTTTGACCACCGGAAATTCGGTCGGCGTTTTGACCCCACAAAAATTCTGCCGGCAGGAAATTCGGCCGGCATTTTGACCACACAAAAATTCGGCCGGCAGGAAATTCTGCCGGCGTTTTGACATTGGCCTGTCCATATTTTTCCACTGCTTATCATGCGCAAACATTGCCATAATTGCTGGGGTTAATTCAGTCGCCCTTTCCGGTACAAGTTGTCTGCCAGTCCATTTGCTCAACTTAAACTCAGTCACCTCTTCGATAATTTAACTGCCGAACATCTCCATTTACACCCAGCAAACTGTGCATGCTGTTCATATGGATTGCCAGCAGAAAAATCTTACTTTCACTGCAAAACTTCAATAAGGATTGCAGCGCCTCGGTCGCCCCGCACAAAATGCATAAATTTGTGCTCAGTATCACGCTGTAGTCTGCTGTGCATGCGCAACCGCATTCCACGCCACTCGACAAAAGCCCCCAACAATGGCACTGCAATAAACGACAGCGATCTAGACGACATGCGTACTGTAATCATATTGCCACAAATTACGTACGAGATATTTTGGCGACCATACTGCGGCACAATACAAAAACGCTAATGCAACGCATAGTGGGGCAAAATAGCAAAAGGCTGTTTAGCCACACATACTGGGGCAAAATAGCTAAAAGCTATTTGAACTCAGTGTGGGGCAAAATAGCAAAAGGCTATTTTGCCACACTGCAGAATACTGGGGTAAAATAGCCATAGCCAAAGATTATACTACAGTGAGCAAAGGCTTTCTGAAAAGTCATGCATTCTCTCCACACACATGAATAAGAGAGAGAAAAAGACAGCAGCGTGCGACGACAACTAGTGACGGCAGAGATGGGCGTGGCCTGACTCAGGAGTCGGTGTCGTCGTAGAACTGCTCGATGAGGGCGCCGTACTTGGCGGCGACGACGTTGCGCTTCAACTTCAGCGTGGGACCCAGCTCGCCGCCGGGGATGCTGAAGTCCTCGGGGAGGAGCTTAAATTTCTGCACGCACTGGGCGCGACTGGTGGCACGTTTGTTGACCAGCGCCATGCGCTTCTCGATGACCTTCTGCAGGCTGGTCAGCCCGACGGCCTCCGTTACCGTGCACACGTCCTGGCCGATGTTCTCCTTAATCCTGCAGAAACAGACGCTTTAAGGAAAATGCCCAGTACATGGGATCACAAATGGGATTCATACACTAAAACTTTCGCTTTCGCGCACTCCGGACCACATTTTTACAGTACGTTATGTCATTCTAAAGTTAAAGGATTTGTATAAATTGTTCTGGAAACCGTGTGCGAGAAATCGCAAATTAAAACGGGCGAAAAGTTAATATTTATTGTTGAGTACCAAAAGTCTGGCAAGTAGCCTATTACCCGATCTTCTTGAAGCTTTGCTGTAAAAGGCAAATGGCCATAAAGTCGAAAGTGAACCAATATCAGATCCATGACATTAAAACATTTGGCGTGTCCATTAAAAGGCCAACCAGCCAAATGCATGTTACGTGTTTAAACAGGGTGCGCATGCGCATGCTCATAGTCAACCCCACAAGATAAAATGGCCGACATAATTTTTCTGATAACACTCTATGAAAATTATCCCAAAGCTCTCTTGATTTACACTGATACCCGCCATGGTCCCGTTATTACGTTGCCTTGAACGATAGCGGGTTGAATGCCGTATTCTTATCAGACCATACCAAGTGAACGAAAACGACAGTACGGTTGCCCACTTTCCCTATTTCAGCGGTTTTTTTATAGTAATTTATTGTGCAGTGATCGGTAACTCGGGCAAGTGTGTAACTTCCGTTGGCGATAGGCAAGCGTCATCAATGAAGGTGATAACGCATTAATGACAGCGACAACCATAACCGCAAGCATGCCTTCATATAATTTTCCCGCGATGTTCATCGTTATTTTATCTTTTCACAATGGATGTGATTTGTGATAGGCATTTAGCTTTATACCCCTTTCAACTTTTCTCAATGTTCGATTACTCCCTTCGCGTACTTTCTCTGCTTGCTTCAGTTAATTACGCGCATAATCGCACGTCCTGAAGATACATAATTTTATAGGTAATTGCTTTACATTGTCACTTTGCATTGAGTAATTACTGATCAGCCTTTATAAATCGCACTTTAATTTGTACAATGTAAACGCACATTGCGGACTATGACCAGAGCTTGTCCCGTAATTTAAAGCGCGTCAACACAGCGACAAATACCGATACCGCAGCTTACGCCAGACTCCTCGAATTGGTTGTGAAGCACTTTTATTTCCAAAAACGCGATAACAATATCAAGAATCAGTTTCGGTGGAAGAAAACAACATTTTCAACCGTACCAGAAACAGAAGCGGCATTAAATAAATGATCGGTAATTCGGCCAAGTGTGTAACCTCCGTTGGCGACAAACAAGCGTCATCATTAATGAAGGTGATCGAACTGGTTACCCGTGCGCATAATACTGTATGTAGTGTACCTGTAGTCCCCTTCCGATGCATTCTTTTCACTAGGTACTGGAGCGATTTTTAAAAGTAATGAATGTTTTAGGCGCATCGAACTGCTTCTGTCTATGTGATCTTTCTACACTGTCATCGCTTCAGTGTTAACGTCACGTCCTGTCGCACGTTGTACGTTTTTACTTAAAAGTAAAAACAACCAAAGCCGGTGTAGTTGTACAATTGGACACAAGGCATAACCGTCCGCAGCACAATCGGACACATTTACCACTTCAACCAAGATGTGACGAACAAGCAAGAAGCTGTGGGCAATCTAGTCGAATATTGCTTACAGAGTAAGCCCAGCCAGTGCAGTGATACATCATCGTCAGTTCAGGTCAGTTCAGTACAACGCCCCGACAGTTAGACGAATTTCTAGGAAATACATAACGGATCCCCGTGGTTTCTGGTCATACACCGGGCTCCAGGAGAGGAATCTCCGGGTTCTTCATCCACTGCTCAGCCTGGGTCAGCGGTGTGCGGCACCAGCCCCTGTCCCTCCACCACCGAACTTCTGTGCATTGCTTTATGATATTTTGTAGCCAAAAGATTTGAATACGTAGGCGTGAAATCCGTTTGCGCGACTAACAACCGGTTGAAATGTTATGGGTGAAGTTCCAGAAAGTTTTTAATGCATTCAGGCGTACCAAAAGCCTCTTTATAAACCGATCTCCTCAAAATTTTGCAAAAAAATGTACTTTAGTATAAAGATCGTTTTTATGCCGGACCAATACTCTAGATTTTTTTCCAAAATTTAAGTGAGTTTCAAAACTTTTAAAAATTATTTTAAAATTTGAAACAAATGGTAGAGCTCTGGTTCGGTGTAATAACGATCATCATGTATACTTGCATTTACGAGCACAATTTGAAGATCGGATTATGATGACACTTTTGGTACACCTGAATGCATTTGAACTGTTTTAAATTCTGGAAACCCATAACTTTCCAAGCGGATGCTGCGCGCGCAAGTGAATTTCACGCCTACATATACAAATCTTTTGGCTACAAAATATTATAAAGCAAAGCAAAAAAGTGTTTGGTAGTGTACGACAGCGAACGCTCCCATGGATGTACATGAATTTGGCTCTGAATCCTTTAAATAGTTCGTTTGCTGTTGCTAAAAAGTTTTCAGTGATGCAGATGAGCTGTGATGCTTTTACCTGTTTCAAAAGCCAGGTAAAACTTGCAATCAGCCACGAGCTGATCACAAATTTCCGTAGTATCGGTGCTGCACTGCTTGGTCCCGCATTTCCCGTAAATATCCACATGGTAATAGTTGGCCAGCTGCTTCACGTACACATCCCGTCGACTGGGAATCCAGTGGCAGTTGGAGACAAAGGTCACGGCGAAGCCTGCCTTCTTGGTTAACAGCTCATCCAGCTGTTGCTCGTTCATCACATTGGGATGAAAGTGCTGAAAATAAGAGTCCGTGACCACATCCGAGTCCAGCCGATACGTAAAGGTCAGATTGAAGGATCCCCGCTGCCGGTCCAGGTGGCCGAACGTGTGCACAAGGGATTCCATAGAATACGTAGTACTGCTACTGCCAAGCCGCTGTGAGATATCAAGAATAATAATTAATTTAATTTTCCATTACTTTGTATGCTGATTAAAAAGTGACCGAATAAGGGCTGCATAAAAAGTTATTCTAGCAAAATTTCAAAAGCTAATTGCATAGAATAATGGATTTTAAATAAAATGAATTTTACTATTATTTTATATATTGGCTATAATGTTTTACATAAAACGATGAAATGTTGGCTCGAAATTAGTCATAAAAATAATAAATAAAATGGAATCATACGATAAAAGTATTTAAATTATATATATATAAATGTTAATATTTAAAAAAATAAAAAAGTTTTATTTTGAATATCCGGCGTAAATGGCGGCCATATCGGAAATGAACGAGTCCGGCGCATTAAACGGCGCATTAACTGTTTTCCTTCTTTTGCTAATTGAAGCAGATAATGCATAATGCTTGGCATTAATCCGAATTCGTAGCAATTATTCCTATACAAAATACACTACTCCGTTTGATTTACTGCCTCTTTCAGCGTAAAAGCGATAAAACATTAACCATAAGTACGAGTAGTGCTACTGGCATTCGACACAGCCACTGCACAATAAACCTAGCCGATTCTGCCGCGCTCGCCGATTCTGCTGCGATCCGATAATTCTGCCGCGCATGTACAATTATGCCGGCAAACTGCAGTTTGTACCTCGTAACACAACAGCACTTTATCACATGTGTGCGATGTGATAAATGGATATTTCCGGCTGTACTTCTTTACTCCAACCAGCTAATCGAAGTATGCCCCATTAATAACATAAATGCCGCCGCCGTAAATCTAAGAATACCATTGTGAACAAGGCCGATGCTGTTTTCCTGCCAGGCATCCAACAGATGTAGATTAGCGACTAGAGAACAATCCGATTACCCGAGGGTCGCTCAACAAGTTTTAGAAATCGCTCTGCCGTTTTCCACTGCATTAACATTTGTTCTTCGTTTCCATAAATTATGTTTCTTTAGTCTACATTCATTGCAAAAATCGATTCCATAACTATCAAAACGAATCCAGTGCGAAATTACACGGAAACAAAGAGGTCTCCCCATGAGAATTTTTTATCAGTTTTCCATATTTTTTTATATTTCTGCCACGCAAGAATTTCTTCAAGCGAAAAAATGTGTTGAGTAGATAAAGGACTAAGGTAAACAAAGAAAAATAACGTGGAACGATACATTAACTTGAGACCAAGAACAAAAATAATTCAGGGGACGGGGTGCTTTTCTGTGGATTTTCGCGATATTGCACCACACGGATGATACCGTGTCAAAATCCATTTTCTTCTGCGTTATCACTGATAACTTATCAGCCAGGAGCTGCAGCACATCCGCGACACCTTTCGTTCAATAATGCTTGATCCCTCTGCTATTGCTTCGCGGTTGTTTGAGAATCATTCTCGATCAGCGTTTTCACCATGAACACTTTTCAAAAGTGGAGACTCAAAAAAATGATCCCAAAATTCGAGCACACTTGTCAAAACGGAGTGCTCAACGCAAAGTCGCTGGAATCAGCTGGCAACATTAGCATAAAATGGTCCTCTTTCAGGAAAGAGAATAGGCTGTTACACATGAAAAAAATCAATGCTGTTCTGTGCAGATTATTTTTTCAAAATGATGTCATGAAAATCGGCCAATAATGCAGTAACCGTTTTCAGTGATCAATGCATAACCAGCTCTACCTAGCTGTGTTCATAGTCTTGCCAACCGCCAACCGTAGGCGGTATGGCCACGGCCATGCCCTATGATCTAGTTATGAATGCTACAGTTTTTAAAAAATTAGTTCATAATTTTATGAATGTTCTATCATATCGATTTCTAAAACTCCTTGAGCGACCCTCGTTTATATACGTGCTTACGCTTTCATAATATTTTAACGTTATTTATGTATGGGCCATATTCCAGTCGTCGGGGGATGGCTCGCTAGCTAGCTCGCTCGTAACTCCATCTAGCCATCTTCGCTTTTAGTTTTTACTCGGCAACATTCTGCCACTTCATTTATAATATTTATTTTCCCAATCGGCCGTTTTAATTTCTTCTTTATTAAGAGAGTCACGATATGTTTCCCTGTTCATCCCCCCTATTTGGTTACATTCTGTTGTCCGTTGCCGGACTGCTGCAGTGGATACAATCGAGTACGGGATGTGCGCCAGCAGCACATAGTTCACGGTCGACAGCCAGCCGTAAGCCATCAGTAACGTAACATCAGTTAATTTTATCTCTGTGAACTGTATGAGCGTATCTAAAATAAGGCGTCCGGTCCAAGATTTAGCAAATAATTAGAGAATAGTCAGGAAAATTTAGGATTACTTCTCACGATGATTTCCGGAGTCCGGAACAATTTTCCAATTACTAAAAGAAAATTTCTATCCGGTACCTAAAATCATATGTTCACAGAAATAAGAAATATGCCAGCTATTTTCTAGATTATTTCCAAATTTCGGAATTTAATTTAAAATTATCTTTCGCATTTCCGAAATCCATTTACAAAATAATAATTTTCAAATTGCGTTCCTTGTTGATTTCCAAAATATTTTGAAGTTTCTTTTCGAAATTATTTTTCCACGATGTCTTCCAGATTCCCAGATTATTATTTTTGTTAGAAATTAAATTTTCAGTTTATTCTAAAATTCGAAATCAAATCTAAAATCTGTAATTAAAGACTTGAGCTCCCGAATTGATTTCCAAAAAAACTAATAAATTAATTTGAATAATCAATGAATTTTCGAAACCCAGTTACACATAGTTTTCGAAATGATCGAATTACATAATTTTTTGTTACTTGATAATTTTATTATGATAAATGGTCTGTTTATTGTTTAAATCATTTTCGACTCATTTGAACCTGTTGCAGGTAAATTCAGCGTAATTTGCTGAAATATTAAAGCATTTACTGATTTTCCAAGTAATTTGAAAATCACTTCGAAATTTTTAATTAGGTTCGAAAACTTTCCAACTTTTTAAAATAGTTTTTGATTTGACCTTTACAGTTCCAAATTACTATATTTCTAACAGAATTTTTTTATTTCCGAATACTCTCTAAATTATTATAAAACCGTTATAGGCACCCCCTAAAACCCCCGTTTATTATAGGCAAACCCTTTTCGCACCCTGTTTATTATAAGCACCCATTTTTGATTAATACCGTACATATTACTATATGACCCGAGATGTTCAAGCTCCGGTTTAAACATTTTTGTAAAATAACAAAATGTTTTACGAATGCGTGCAGCCGTGCACTATAGAGAAATCGAAAATAACGGCTCTGGAGCTCGTATAGCCTACGAAACCAAGGCCCAGCTCGCATCAGGCTTGCAGCCAGCATCGGCGGCCGCGTCCTACGTATACCAGGTAGGAGAAGAAATCGACCATAACCATCGACTGACAGAAGGTAGGAAAACGTTACCGGGAAACCGCCGCCCTAGCCATGTTCAGTCACAGAAGGTAGCATAAATGCATAAATCCTTCCTGCCAGGGCAATTCAGCGACATATAGCTAAAGAGACCGGCAAGGGTGTCACAGGCCAAGTTATACAGAACCCGCAATATGGCGAAAACAGTTGACCGTGGTGAACGTACGGAAGACGCAATCGTTACATGCTAAAGATCCGAACGCTTTCGTGAATGTGGAACTGCCTAACACCGGAACACGGACGTGGTCCGGTGTCGCCGCATGTCAAATTGCAGCTCTCTTTGCTGTACGATGGCGAACAGAAGCCGGTCACTGTAGCATTCCAATTGTTGAGCTTCTGCTGTCGGGGTCCAACCAGTGCGTCCCGATGGCTTTTTCCTGTATTGCTGTAATGATCTGTGCAATATCGCCCGCGAACATTTATATTCACAAAAGTCGCGGCTCAAAAGTCTTACCAGCTGAGAAAATCACAAGGTGATAACGGATTGGAAGGAAGCCAATGAATGACTGACCAACGCGAAAAATGACCTGGTCACAGTAGAAGGGGCGATACTAACTCAGTAATTCGCTCTAAGCTGCCTGATTTGCCGAATCGCCCTATTATCAGCTGGAAAACTTGATGTACTGAACTCGGCGCTAGAGATAAATTATTGTAAAAAATTACTGAAAATTTGAAATATTAGCTGAATAAAGCTGCATTATCACCTGAGAACACTGAATCTATTATATACCATATAACTTAAAAAGGGTGCTTATAACAAACGGGGTGCAAAAAGGGGTGCCTATAATATACGGAGGTTTTAGGGGGTGCCTATAAGGGTACCCAAATTATTAATGACTTTTCAGTTTAATTGTCCAAATCAAGTCAAACTTTAGAGTATTAATTTCTAAACTTGTACGGTACGTGTCAAAATCATTTGCCAATCGACAGAAAATTAATTCCCGGGTTATTTCCGGCAATATCTCATCCGTGAATCAATTTTTAAATTTGGAAAAAGATTACAATTTATTACAAAAATTACTTTGAAAAAATTGCAAATTAATTTCTGAATTATTAGGAATTTCCCAATAAATCCCCAATGTTTTTTTAATTTGTGAAATCGTTTTTTCAACTATTTTCAATTTTCTTCCTAATTTTGAAATTTTCTAGATAATAATTTCGGAAATTCCATGTACGGAGTGAAAGGTTGTGATTTGTGAACAAGTGGTAACGGCTCCTTTTGAATATTGTAGTGGAGGACATGATAACGGAGAAGTTATCATACTATCGTGAAGACGATTTGATAAGTCTTGTGGAGCTGAGCACGATGCGCGACACGCCGGACTGCGAGGTGCGTCGACCCCGTTTGGGGGACAATGTGGAATTCACATGCCAGACGCCCAAAAAAGACTATGTTAACAGCGTCACCCTGACGTATCAGGGCAAACATATTTATAATACAAGGGAAGCTGTGCCGGCGCCAGATGAGCCCAACGCCTCAGGTCACAATTACACCATCCGCTGGCGACCAAAAGATGACACCCTCACCTTCACCATCTACCACATCGATCTGCGCTCCAGTGGCGTGATAAAATGCATCACGCTCCCGGTGCAACGGCCGCCCCTGGAGCAATGTTTCCGGCTGCTGCCCATGATCACGCACGCCTATGAGGTCTTCGCCAGCAAACCAACGCCACTGACCGTCACCGAAGGCCTGCCTGTCGTTTACGTTTTCTGCAGCATCCGGCTACCCCTGCCGGAGGATATCTACAGCAACATTGACAACCACGTGATGTGGCGGCACAACGGCCGCATCGTGAAAGGACCCACGGAAGCGCCGTACTGCGCGGTAATGCCCAATGTGACCACTGTGCCCACCGTATCCACTACGCCCACTGTAACTACTGCCCGACAGTTCCAATCCCGTCGGCGTCTGGTCCCCCAGCCCTTCTACCATTACCCCTCTCCCAACATCCACGGCAATGCATGGCGCCTTGAATACCATCTGCGGCCCGTCAGGAAGACCGATGAAGGATGGATCCAGTGTTTATTCCGCCCGCACCGGGAGATCGACGAGTGGGTGATGCAGGAAACACAGCTGTCGGTGGCTCGCAAGACCGGCAAGCGCCATTTAATGGCAGATACCGATCCCGTTTAATTATTCACTTATTTGACGTGCTATTTACAATTCCTGATTTGAAAATGAAGCGCGATCGATACTGTACGTGCATAGTGTTTATTAACCCGTCTCTCTGCAGATTTGCAATGATTTTAATTTGGAATAACTGACGTGTCAATACCAACATTCTAAGTAAGACATCTTGCCGCTTATGAAGGTAAACAGTAAAAACGTACAATACATGCACATCAACACACAACATCCCAAAATAGTGAAAATACTGTAGCATTTATGTTAGAGAAAGTGCTAAATATTAAGCCGATAAGTGATAAAGACAACAAACGTTTCACATTACCAAGCCAGTTACACAAAACAGAAAAGTGATGGGGCAATCAGCCATATTAATGGGCAACACCATGACAGGAACACATATTTTCACCGGCGAAACAAGAATATTTAGTATGGAAACAATCTAGATAACTCATAAGTATTATACAACCAATGCATATGACTTCCTTAATTTGGTTTTTGGCCACGTTCACTGGACCATTGCCTAAGAAACTGAATTTTTTTAACTGCCCTGCTACTCTGTCTTCAAGCAAAAAATGAGATTTCTCGGAGGGGGTGCCTCTGGCCGGCCCCCTGATAAACACTACCGGCTCTATCAAGCCTTTCTGTGCTTATTTCATTTTATTTATCGAACAGTTCGATACTTCTACTGATACTCGTGTTATTTGCCGGTACACTCAGGTTGCGATCGAAGCGTGAAAAGCTGCTTCGCGATCCACTTAACTAGACTTGTTAAAAACAGTTGTTTCTATTCCGACGATGTTCTCACCGACGAGGAACTCCGAGTACAGGCAAATGGTGAACTGAATGTTCTTATGATTTATGCAATTTCATAAATCAGCGGGCGCAATTCCCGATCACTTCCAGTTAACCCGCCATTACAAAAACATGAAATCCAATCAATAATCATATACAAACTGTCAACTCCGCCAGCAAAGCGGGTTGTTATCGTCTCAACCGTTGAGTCCATCCTATACGGGATCAACGCCGCTTTCCTGCGTGCTGTTCTTGGGAATAACCATCAGCGTCCTCGTCTGTACAATCCACTCATGGACGCCCAGGTGGGGCCGGAACCAGCACTGGACCGATCCTTCATCGGCCAGCGCGACTGCTCGAAAGTGTAATTCCACCTGTAATAGCTGCCCGGGGCTGTTGATGCACAAATTGTAGTTAGCTTCGACGTCACGCGGTCCTTCGCCGGGGGGCATTGGGAGCCGGTACGGCGCTTCCCAAGGACCGCGGACGATACGGCCCTGATGCACCCACATCAACTGGTTGGGCAGGTTCAGGAGAAGGCCTTCGGGAACCGGCAGCCGGATGTGCCACTGCACCGTGACTTCCTCGCCCTCGATGGCCGTCACGTTACTCTCGTCGGCCACGGCAAAGACGTCGCGGCGCTGCGTGATCAGCGGGAGAATGAGGAAGCGCTGCAGGATGCGGCGCTGCCGGATGTAGGGTGGGTCGATGACGCACTGCAGGAGGCCGCCGGAGCGCATGGTGACGTTGCGGACGAAGATAGTGAGGGTGTCGTTGACGCGGGTGAAGCTGTAGGTCTGTCCCGTGGTGTCCCTCTCCGGCAACGGCTGCGGCTTTCCTCCTTTGAATACTGCCCAGTGTTGGTGCACCCAGGACACCTGGCGCCAGTCGACATCGGCCGGAACGCGGCAGTGAAACGCCGCGTCCTGCCCTAAACACGGCCGGTACATCACGCATTCCGTCAAGAATTTATTCACCGCCAAGCCCGGGAATACGGCGCGGTCGTCCTGCTGGTGCGGCATGGCCTTCGCCAGCATGTCCTTCACTAAAGTGCAAATCAGTTGTAAAAGCTTGTCGCTAAACTGAGCATTCGTAAATACAGCGAATATTAGACATTTAATTACGGGTGACGCGTAAATCCGTACTACGGCGCCCACGCCACACTGTTTAAACACGTAACATGCATTTGGCTGGATGGTGGGTTGGTGCACACCGGATATTTTAATGAGAACAATTATAACTGCCTGGCGTAAGGTGGCTACAAAGCGGTCGATGCAGTACAGGACAATCCAACTGCGAAGCGCAGTTATGCATTACGATGAACGTAGTGCAGTGGCCATCATTCAAGCGCCACCTTCGCACTAGTATCGCTCTACCCGTATCTTTACATGCTCAATTGTTGGCAGGGTTGTAATTGCATCGTGTCTTCTTATTCCGTTAGGAACACGTTCCTCTATAAATTCGGCAGTCGCCAAGCTACTGTGGCTGTCCGTCAGCGCGCGCCCCACTGCCACAAGGGGACAGTACACAGTATTTCAATCTCTGTTGACACTCTACAACCGAAAATATTGGAAAAATAATTTTTTTATTCATTTGTTTCCCCTTATCGTTATTTCTGATTGTAAAGTTTCAATTCATTTCCAAACTGCCTCAAACAAAACTGACTGAATTCCAACAAAGGCCCTCACGGCGAATGTACTTCCCAAGAATACGAAGCTATGGATAAAGAGAAACCAAACGGTTGCGTTTGTTGTGCACGAAGCCGCAGTTCAGAGGGGCCGCTATTAGCTAAAAAGGTAGAACACCCAAAACCCTACCATTTTTTCTAATTATTTGTATTATTTTATCCAACTTTATCCAACTATCTGTAGTGCCGGCTAATCCTACTGCTATTCCTTTCACGGTCACTACGCGTTGCCGACTCCACAGTGAGCGCGGTTAATGCTGCGGTGCGGCGGTGCTAGCTGCAGTTTCCGGATACAAATCGATCGTGTTTTTATCTATTATCACTTTATATAGAATAAATATATTTCTAGAAGAAGCTTTTGAAATTTTGCTGAAATATTGCTATATGCATCGTTACCCAGCCACTTTTCGATTATAGTTATATAATCTTAAATTACCGGAAACCAAGATTTAAAATAAAATTCAAGATTTCTAATATTTTACAGCGGCTTGGCTGTGGGTACGTATTTATATCAGCATTTTCCATCGTCCAGGAGCTGGGCACGCCGCACGGGCCCGAGGAGGGCGTCTACAGCTGGGCGGAACTGTTGGACCTGGCCAAGTACGTGCCGGACGTGGCCATCCTGGAGCGGCACGCCGCCATCGCGCCCAGCAAGTGCTGCACAGTCAACTGTACCCCTCCGGTATTTTCTTTTTCTTTATTGATATCACTAGCGGTGGTTGTTAACCACATTATTGCACGAGCGCGAGCGCGAGCGCCAACACCACTGGGAAATGGTACTGGGATTGTGGAATTGGAAAGGCGTGGCGTCTCTTCGTGGCGTCAGACAAATTTTATGCTCTTGACGAAGACTTATTACTTATTGCAGCACCTCGCGCTTCGCGCTCGGTGCAAATTATCTAACTACAGTAGCCAACTCCTTTTAATGGAGATATTTGTCAGCTTACAGGAAAGTTGTTTCTGGATTAGTTGAAAATTTCATGCATTTTTAGTTGATTTTTAGGAGATAGACAGTTACTCAACATATGCATAAAAATTGATAAAATAACGGAAGTATGCATACGAAGAAAGCTTATTTTAAAGCAAATCGTCGGGTAGCATCCAGGTGCCGGAGGAGTTGTTCCTACAGTTCGTGTCAATTTTCTGAAAAAAGCTGGGTTTTGCTCGCACTTCGAAGCGACACGTTTCCTGTGAATTAAACTGGAAATTCACTGACAAAATAACAAAACTCGAGTAAAAAAGACATATCTGTTGCAGCCGGCGTTGCAGCAAAAAATAATAAGTAACATAAGCTGAAAAATACAGATAAAACACTCCCATTTTTTCGAAAAGTCGCGAAGTGCGCCGCCTGTATATTTCATCCAGCGCATACACCATGCCAGCAATTTTTTTTTATTTTGTTCTAATGAAAGCATTTACACCTTCTTCAAATAAAAACAGCTACACAAATTGCAGTATTGCCTGCGGGAAAAAAAGGCCGCCGAATAAATGGAGATATTTTTACCGAAAAAATACGCTTTTCATGCGAATTATTATTTCCTGTTTTGATAAGACACCCGGTGCACCGCTAATTTCGCCGACAGTTAGCTGTGATTCTCTTCTTTACGCAGATACTCTGTACACCGGCGGAACCCGGCGCGATTTGTTCCCGAAAATTCTACAGACGTCATTAGCATTTTCCAAAAATTTCAAGGTGATTTTTCCGAGTTTAATTATTGATTAATTTATTTATTTCCGAATTTAATTTATTTCGAAACAACTTAAGAATTACTCTGTAATTCAAGTACTTATTCAAACCTATCGGTCTCCGACAAATTGGTACAGCAGATTCAAGGAGAAAAACAAGCAGGTACAGCAAAATAACACAGAGACTCTGGCTGAGACAATTTCCGGACACAATCGTACTTATTGTATTTTATTTAATTAATAATTAACATTATTATTATCAATTATTATTATCATTATTGTCGAACTACAGTAGACAGCTCCTTTACTAATGCATATATATTATTATCACGCATTCAGGATACTGGAAATTAGTGCTAGGTTTTTTGAAAATTTTTGTGTCTTTTTTTAGCCTGATTTTATGAGATGGAAGTTACTCAACCGAAAAAATAAGTATTGATAAAAATCTTCTATCAAGGCAAATCGTCCAGCGGCCCGCATGGACAAGAACATATAAAATTCCAAGAAAATTTCCCTTTTTTTCCGAGCTCGGAATTCAGAGAAAAAGCCCAATTTCGCTCGCCACGCCCAGCGACGCACGTTTTCCTGCGAAATACACCAGAAAATCCATGAAAAAATAATCAACAAATTTTCGAACATTATTATTTTCGCCACACCGGCCTCGTAATAATTTTAAAAATTAGACGTTTTTCGAATCTAGCGCACCGGAACTGGACAACTAAATTAACTCGACGACAAATGCGTACAGCGGCATTTCAGCCAGAAACCCGGCGCAGTTGCGCAATCGGAGAGCCTGTTTTCAGGGAACGCGTTCCGAAGAGAATAACCATTGCACCACTCGCCGCAATCCAGGAGAAAACATATTTTCCCTGCGGATAATTACGCAGTACTCACGGTTGGCGGCCGTCGGCTGCTGAAGGGAACATCCGTTGGAGCAGTGAAGCTGCAGCAGAATAAGAAGCGTCAACCACGTCGGTGACAGGCAAGTGCCTGTTATCCAGCACGGAGACATTGCAGCGGCGGCCAGCAGAATAACGATAACCTGGCAATGATGATTATATTTTAATCATACAGCAGAGACACCAACAACAGTAGAAAACGGCTTAGTTAATTGATTTAGAAATTGAGATTATTTTGGGTAATTAATCAGCCCATAACAGGCATATGCCTGTTCTGGGCTGTAATTCAGGCTGACGATCAAGTGTAAAATTGTAAATTAGAACTAACGCACGGGTAGCTTGCAAACTGCAGCTGCAACGAACTGAACGAAGGAAGGACCAGAGGCGCAGTGAACCGACCACCTGGGCGGCCGTCCCATCCGCACAGGCTGCAGACGGCCCACCACCCACCGGTCAGCGCGCTGCGCCGCTGCACGATGATCTAGCAGTAATTCTGACACTCACTAGAAAAAATACAAATACAATTCTTTCTTTAACCAACCTTGCCGTAACACCATATGGCCTTGCCGTTTATCGCCGCGCCTTCCACTCGTGCCGAAGAAAGCAGCAGCAGCGCTAGATGAGCGGAGCAAGACCGGGGAATAGAGCAGCATCGCGTTGAGGATGACGGGTCGTCCCCGTAGGCTGGGAGAGCTGGGGATCATGCGGACCAGATGGACCGAGCTGGTAGGTGTCCGCGCCCAGATGATCCTGCAGAAACAGGCGCAACGCGAGCCGCAGAGTTTGCGCAGCACCGGATCAGCGTGCAAATCCAACGAGGCAGCGCATCGATCGTCTTCAGATGATCCTGTCCTTTTCATCCTGTTGAGCCAGTATGTAGTTGTACTGAAAATGAGTTCGGACTTTCCTCTAATTAAATAACATTAATTTAATTTAGTTTGCAGAACTCCCAGTTAATTTCCACTTATGATAGCTGTAAGGCGTCGGTCACTGTGGTTGCTGTTTAAATTCAACCTATTAATTTAAATTAATGTAGTGCCATTTAAAATTTATTATGGCTTTAATGGAAATTTAAATGAATACATTCATCTGCTGATTGATTTCATTTGGTACAATTTAGATCTCACTGAACTGCAGGCTGCGCCGTCATCGGCCACATCCGTGTCCCGTCATCCCGGCGATCCTGCGCGTGATGCAGCCGGCTGCGTGTCGGATCTTGGTCCGGTCAGCGCTGCGCGCAGCCCGCTATCAGCCATGCAGAATCCGGGCAGTCGTCCGCTCTTCCGCTGATCGTTATGAGAGGCCCGGCGCGTGCTCCTTCCGCTGTTCCGCCAGCTGCTCAACCAGATTGACCAGATGCCACGCAGCTGGTAGTGGTCGGTGTCCTCGCCAAGGTGATCCTGCAGAAAACAGGCACAACGCCAGCAGCCGCGTATTTGCAGCACCGGATCAGCACAGAATCCAGCGAGGCAGCGCCTCGATCAGCTGCAGATGATCCTGTCCTTTCCGTCCAGTTGAGCCACTAATGAGAATCAGTTTCCACTAATGAAGTAAAATTAGTTTAATTTAATTTAAGAATTCCCATTTAATTTCTTCTCATAATAATTGCGGTGCGTCGGTCACTGTGACTGTGGTACCTGTTTCAATTAAATTTAATAAATTAATTTAAACTTAATGTAATTTATTAGAAATAATTTAATTGAATCAAATTAATTTATATTTCTAATTTAAATTAAATCAATTAATTTAGCGTAACTTTTAAGTTTATTATGGCTTTAACTGCCATATATCTGTAAAGGATGCGTTCATTTACGATATTGATTTAGTTGTGTACAGTTGCAATCTCACTGAATTCCAGGGTCCCGGATCATCCCGGCGATCCTGCGCGTGACGGAGCCGGCTGTGTGTCGGACTGGTCCGCGGTCAGCGCTGCACGAATTAGCCCGGCATCAGCCAGAACTCCAGGGCGTCATGGCCGTCGTCCGCTCTTCCGCTGATTGCTAGAAGAGTGCCGGCACGTCCTATTTCCGCTGTTCCGCCAGTTGCTCAGCGCACTGCTGGTCCGCGGGGACGACCGACTCCATATTCAGGGAAACAGGCTCCTGGTGTCCTTGGCCGGGAAGGATGTCCAGTCTGGTCCCCGCCAGGCGGCCGTCGTGCTGGAGACGCTGTTGGGGAATGGTGGTGCGCACCGCCCACCGCCTCGGAGGCCGACTGGTCAGTTTCTCCTTCTTCTAGATTTTTTTTAAATTTTATCCTTTCATTTACATTTTTCGATTTTAACTTCCCGTTCTTTCCGCTGCGTTTTATATTTTAGGCTTTCTGAATTTAATTGCATGTAATTATTAAATATCACTCTAGCTTTACATATTAATTTTGCGATTACATTAATGCGTCTAGTTTTTTTTAAAAATAACCCAAATAAATATGACTTAAAAACAGAGCCAGTAAAAACCAAAACAGACAAAATTAGGTGCTAAAAGCTGCGAATGTTACCGAACTAAAAATTTTCCTAAAATGAAAAATCTACTTAATTTTTAAAAAGTCTACATCGGCGTTAATGAAAATAATTGTTTTTAAAAATAGCAAAATAAGCTTAAATCAGAAAAAAAAGTTGGAGTTACGTTAAACAACACTAAAAATGTTTCGAAAATAAATCAGGAAAAAAAGCAACATCTGACCTTTTTTTCGGTATTTCGTCACAATTTTCGGTGATGCCATAAAGGATATTTTCGCCTTGGATGCCCGACGCCGACTAAATCCAGCTCAGCGCTGCCGCCCCGGGCGGGCAGCCAGCGGCAGCGCTGTCAGTGCCCATCTCCAGAAGAAAACACTGGATGGCGTAATCGTGCATCCCGTTCTCCTCGCTCCCGTTCTCCCAGTCTCCCAGGGAAGAGAGCCCGAATATCCGGATGATTTTGGGAATTAGTCATCCGGGAGAGGCTGCGGCGCATGTTGCAGGGGCAGGCCATTACGTAGATCCTCTGTGGCAAAATTTCTTCGAATTTCGAATTCGTCCCTTTCGAGTGATGGCTGTCCACACTCCGCAGCGCTTAAGCGCTACAAAGTCAAAACAGTTGGCTGCAGCGTTCCAGGAAGATTCCTTTCCGAAGTCAATTCGGAACCAGATGCTTCCCAGTATTTATTGCTCCCCGGGCTCCAATGTGAAAGACTCGTTCTTCGGGGAAAACACAACTAAAAAGCCAAGTACAGACGCGCAGCCATGGTTCGATTTTTAAAATAATGCAAAGGCGACAGGATGATCGTGGCGTAATGGTGCGAAGGTAACTGCAGGGTTCTGTGGCCGCCAGATGACAGGTTCGGCTGACTGCCACACGCCAGGATGGACTTTGAACTGCCGGTCCGAAAGTGGCGTGCTGTCGCCCAATGTAGGCGAGAGTTTCTTACAATTTTGTCGGTTTGATCGACGGTTTACTAGCGCACAAGACGCTGCACAGAATGCAGATCAGCTGACTGCTATAACTGAGAAGTACGCGTACAGAGTTTCATTCACCGGTCACTAACACCACCGCCCATGTGGTGCGCTACAGGAACAGCTGCTGATCGCACCACGTGCTGTTTCATTTCTTCGTCACTGGTCGGTGGTCATTGGAACAAAACTGAAAATGTTGGAATTAAAAGTTTCTAAATTGTGCAAACGTGGAAGAGCGGTTGCTTCAAATATTGCACCTGGTCCAGTCCCTGTTCTTTGATGTTTTATGGAAATGTTGCTTAGTTCCTGCTTCGAAATTACTGAGCGAAATTTTTACTATGAAAGCTATTCGTTTCTGGTATTTTCGCAATTGTTAGGAAATTTTAACAACAGGTGACCAAAATATAAGAACGTTTACACAAGAAAGAATATTCACAGTGACCGAAATATGAGAAAAACCGAAGTAACGCTAAAATAATAATAATAATAATAATAATGGAAGTTTATTGTCCTTGCACGGAGCGAGTGCCCCCTCAAAGCTTCAGACAGCGAGACAGCGGAAGGAAAAACACTGGGGCATATTGCGGACATATAGGCTGTTCTATCTGTATATGAAGTAATGTATTTTAAGCATACATAATCGACGTTGACATAATTACGTTCACAAAATGCTGATTCACGAATTATTACGAAGAAATCTCGGTAAGAGATACTTAATATCAGGAAAATAACAATATAGTATATACCACGGCGCACATGACTGAGAAATGAAAATCCTCAAAATGGCGAAAGATTATACTACAGTGAACAAACTGTCTGAAAGGTCATGCACTCTATCAGTACACATGCTTAACAGAGAGAGAAAAAGAAGTATAGCGTGCGATAACGATGCATGCCAGAGATGGGCGCGGCTTCCCTCAGGAGTCGGTGTCGTCGTAGAACTGCTCGATGAGGTCGCTGTACTTGGCGGCGACGACGTTGCGCTTCAGCTTCAGCGTGGGACCCAGCTCGCCGCCGGGGATGCTGAAGTCCTCGGGGAGGAGCTTGAATTTCTGCACGCACTGCGCGCGACTGGTGGCGCGCTTGTTCACCAGCGCCATGCGCTTCTCAATGACCTTCTGCAGGCTGGTCAGTCCGACGGCCTCCGTCACTGTGTTCACATCTTGGCCGACGTTCTCCTTAATCCTATACAAATTATTAATGAAAAAATTATTAATGAATACGAAAACTAGCTACTCATCACAATAATGTTAATTACTATTCTTGTGCGGGCTTGGTCAGTCTGTCCAGCGGAGCGCCGGTCGTCGGTCAATCTCCGATTTCAACGTTAATAAAACGGCGAGGAATTTCCGCTTATCGCCGATGACCATAGCGTTACTGACAATCGGCAGTTCTTCCTTGATCGCGTCCTATTATAAATCACTGATATTAAACATCTTTATTATATTAAACATTTTAATAGAAGTATTCATAGTAATTATGTTAATGTGATAATAACTGTGTATGTATACATTGCACTGTTATTGTATTTTACAAACCAAAAATTTTTTACAATAATTTGTTAACATGTATTTTATGAGTATTACTTGCATTTACATTTTTGAACATGTATTAGGTAATGCTGTTTTAATATTTTATTGGTGCTGTGATATCGGTATATATGTTTATACTGTGACTTGATTGCCGAATCGAGTGCGCACGTACTTCTATGGGAATGGGCGGGACATTTTCGCCGCCGGCGGTAATGAGCAGCTCCTTGAGGCGGCCGGTAATGAAGAGGAAGCCTTCGCTATCTTTCCGCCCGATTTCGCCGGTGTGGAGGTAGCCCTGGGCGTCCAGCACCTCGCGGGTCTTTTCTTCGTTGCCCAGGTAGCCCATGAAGATGTGCCGGCCGTACATGCAGATCTGCCGCGCAACAGACACCACATTTATTTCTTCGACCTTTATGTGCAACACGAATTTTAAAAAACCTCGCCATTGCCAACGGCATCGAGCTTGTCGATTTTCGTCACCACGCCGATCAGTTCCCGACCGGCTGAGCCGATTTTGAAAGCGCCGGGCAGGTTCAGCGTGTGGGGAGCTAAAAAAGAGAGCATATTAATAACTGCTATCGCACTATATTGTAGCAGATTCAGCATGACGTACCGGAGCTTTCGCTCATGCCGTAAATGTCGTAGATGGGGATGTTGAAGGAGAGGAAGTACTCCAGGGTCTCCTTCATCATGGGCGCGGCGCCCGAGCAGGTGAAGATGCAGCGGTCCAGGCCCAGCGCCTGCCGCACCTTTTTGAAGACCATCGCGTTGGCCAGTGTCCAGCCCAGCGGATTGCCGTTGCCATTGCTGCGCCTATATAAGGAGACTTGCATATAATGCAAATTTGTCGAAGAAAATCTGTTGGGCATTGTACATATGTATATTGTATTTACAAATTTTGCTGACGGTTGCGGATGTATATACACCCAATATTTCGGTTATGTCATATGTACAATGTCATATCCATATATAAATCTTGACGACGACCTTTGACTATACATGTGCATATACATCCACCTATATGTATGCATATCGATACTAGTACTAAAGTTGTAGTAGCGAATTATTGCTTTATATTATTAGTCAAAGGACACCATCAGGATTCATAAATGGGTATCACATTGCACATATGACATAACCGATATCTTGGGTGTACCTGTATATACATACATATACATGCGAAACCGTATATACATGCATGCGAAACCGTATATACATGTAGTATATACATGCGAAACCGTATCGCAGGACTTTATGTACGCAGTACGAGACCATAATTAGGGAATTTTAGATTTCATATGGTTTAGGCTCCGTCCACTAGAAACTACCGCGTCAAATAAACAGTACGTTAGCAGACTGAAAATCGTTTAGAATGGTTGTACGGATGCACACTTGCAGCGAACGTACAGCTGAAAAATAGATCGAATCGAGAGTGCCGAGAGCGTGACCAACCTGCTCTCGGGGAGGCGGTTAGAGCACACAAAAAATATCCACAGGCAGCATACGCTGGCCTGTCGCTCCCCATATGGCTGAGCCGTTGCACAGATCCACGTAAGGCACGTTTACGCGTCAGCCAACGACGTTGGGTTAAGGCGCCATACGTCGCGAACGGACGTGAATCAACCCGTAACGCCAACTTCTATCCGAACGTCGAACTGTACGGAACTTGTTTTGTGAAATCTAAAATTCGCTATTATTACGAGCATACGGATATACATATATGCGGCGTGCATATGTATGCGCAAAGGCCATCAAGATATTGTACAAATAGTTTCATATAAATTATTTGCTTAATTTATATGCGCCTAATTATGTGACATATCTTGCATACGTACCTATAAGTTTTTTTTTGTTATTTCTTATATGTGAACTAATATGCCGCCATAATATTATTATGTTGCCAAAGGTCAATAGAATTTACCCATTGAATCGCTTGAGATTGCCGCGCAGCCCGACATCCTGCGCCACGGAGCCGATCCAGGTCTTGACGGCGCCGTTCTTCTTGCTGACCGCCTGCATCTTCTCGGCCATCTTCTCGAAGACCCGCGGCACGCCCACCAACGCCGTGGGCCGCGCCTCCCGCAGCGTGTCGACCAGGGTGCCTTTTAGCGCGTCCGGCTGGGCGAACCAGACCACGCCGGCGGTGTTAATGGACAGGTAGAGGTCGGTCATCTGCGCCGCCACGTGGCTGAGCGGCAGGTAGCTGACGAAGGTCTCCTGGATGTCGCGCCGGCTCTTCAGCGTGGTGAAGGCCTCCGTCATGGCCATGCGCGAGGTCCACAGCAGGTTGTCGTGGCTGAGCATGGCGCCCTTGGGGTTGCCGGTGGTGCCGGAGGTGTAGATGACCGTGCAGCACTTGTTGGGCGCGATGGCGGCGTGCCGCTCCAGGATGGCCACGTCCGGCACGTACTTGGCCAGGTCCAGCAGTTGCGCCCAGCTGTAGACGCCCTCCTCGGGCCCGTGCGCTGGCGTGCCCAGGTACTGGATGATGGCTTTGAGGTGCGGCATTTCGTGGCGGATCTTTTTCGAATATATTATCGAAATTTGAATATCTTATTCTGAAAATTAATAGTTTCAGTATTAGATAAATTTATGATTATTTGTTTTATATATTTGATATAATTTTTTATATATGGAATAACAAAATTTTTTTATATAAAATAATGAAGAATTTTATATAAAATCATAAAAAGTTATTACGAATTTCACGGTAATTGGTAATAATGTAGAAAGATCATGAGATAAAGAAGAATACTGGGAGTTCCATGTACCTAGAAAACCGTTGCCTTTCCAAGTCGTTGCATTACTACCTGCCATTTAGCAGAATGCAACGGAGGTTGTTCATTAATTTTGCAAGCTCGGTATCTGTTTGTTTTCTTCATTCTCTGGGTAACATTTACCAACATTCCCGCAAAGGCGCAAACTCCTCGTTGCACATCACGGATTCGTTTAAAATTCAACATATGTCAGTGCCAAGCTACGTTTTTCTATTTTCACTTGAAATATACCGTAGATGACTGATGATGCATGTGCAGACGGAAAGGTCAACATTCGAAGAAGAAAGAATCGAAACGAAATGGACGAAAGCCAGCGATAAAAATTGTAAATATGTTGCAGGTGTTGGTCTGACCACAACCTTTGGTACAACACTTAATACGGTAGTGACGATTCAACTCGGATCGTGTGCTTTGACATCCGTATGACACTCACATACAATGTATTCTACTCGTCGTCTCGTACAGTGATCATTCAACTACCGGCGATTTCTTAAATTGCCCTGAAAGAAGAGTGGTGTCATGACTATTGCTGTCCAGGTGGGTTGCACGTCAATTTACCGACCTTCAATTTGCTGACCGACCTCTTGCTGAACGGCAAGTTCTTGCCTGACATTTCGCTTTCCGTTTAGCTTTATACCTCCTTCGACTTTTCTCAGTGACCGATTACTTTCCTTTCATTCGATTACTGATACTTTCCCTATTTCCATGAATTAGTCATGCGCATAATCGCATATCTATATCTATAAATTATATATCTTAGATGCATAATTTTATAGATAATTGCTCTGCATAGTCACAGTCACTTTGCATTGAGTAATTATTGCTCACCATTAATTTATAAATCGCACTTTGATTTATACAAATTAGACTCACATTGCGTACTATGATCAGAGTATGTCCCGTAATTTCTAACGCGTCAACACAGCGGTCAGCGACAGACACAAATTTGTACCTTACGCCAATCTCTTCGAATCGGTTACCCGTGCGCAAAATACTGTATGTAGTGAAAGTACTTGTAGTCTTCTCCCGATGCATTCTTTTAACTAGGTACTGTAGCGATTTTTAAAATTAATCAATGTTTTAGGCGCATCGAACAGCTTCTGTTCATGTGATCTTTCTATTCTGTCATCGTTTCAATGTTAACGTGACATCCTGTCGTACATTGTACGTTTGTACTTAAAATCAGTTCAACTCGGTTCGTCAGCTCAACTCATCTCAGTACAACGCCCCGACAGTTAGACGAATTTCTAGAATATGCGTAACGGGTCACCCATGCTTTCTGATCATACGCCGGGCTACAGGAGAGGAATCTCGGGATTCTTCATCCACTGCTCAGCCTCGGTTTGCGGTGTGCGACACCAGCCCCTGTCCCTCCACCACTGCCCCATATCGACCATGACCTTCCGCCGTGGTAAGCGCGTGTTGAGAATCCGGCAGATTCGGCACCAGGACCAGTTGTCGGCGGTCAGACCGCCGGCCAGCCGGGATGCAGTTGGGTGCATTCGCCACTGGAAATATCGGCGATATTCGCTGGGGTTCTTATCCAGGAAGAGCAGGTACTGGGCAAGAGCTTTTGGACCGCTGAAATCCAGGACGTTAATGAAGGAGCCGCTGGGAAAGATGGCTGAGTAATTGGCGCCACCGTATACCACCGGCACAGCGCCGTAATTGAACGCGCGGTGGATCTTCTCCGTCACGTAATCCTTGCACACACTGAAAAGGGAGTGGTATTATTGATCGATGCCGGATTGCTGCGTAGTTCTGCCGATAATAATACAACTAAATAAATTAGTAATAAAATAATAAAACATCAGGACAAGTGACGTAAGAAAACTCTGAACTCGTGTATGCCATTAAAGTATTTTTCAACGCCAAAAGAAACGTTTTAATAAAAGCACAGAATTAAGTGGCTGCGCTTTAACTGATAATTATTTTGCACCGGAAAGGAAAGAGTCTCCAGTATTTGGACCATGTTACAGAAAATCTGTACGGAGATTTCGGATTTACGCCTTAAGGGATTTAGTCATTTTGGCCCGGTACATTGCACAAATTCGTGTACATCCACGGGAACTAGCGGTGTCGCGCACTACCAAAGACTTTTGTCCTTTGCTTTACGATATTTTGTAGCCAAAAGATTTGTATACATAGGCGTGAATCCGTTTGCGCGCGCAACATTCGGCTGGAATGTTATGGATAAATCAAAATTCCAAAAAGTTTAAATGCTTCAGGTGTACCAAAAGTCTCGTTATAAGCCGATCTTCCCTAAATTGTGCAGGAAAAATTAACATTAGTATAAAGATCGTTTTTATGCCTGACCAAAATTCAACAATCTTTTCAAATTTTAAAATGTATTTCAAAAATTTTAAAAATTATTTTAAATTGGAAAAAATGGTAAAACCCTGGTACGGTGTAAAAGAATACGATCTTCGTGTATACGAGCATTTACGAGCAAAGTTTGAAGATCGGTTTATGATGACAGTTCTGGTGCACCTAAATGCATTTGAACTTTTTTATTTTCTGGAAACTCATAACTTTCCAAGCGTATGTTGCGAGCGCAACCGGATTTCACGCCTGTATTCAAACTGTACTCGTATACAAATTTTTTGGCTACAAAATATTACAAAGCAAAGCAAGAGCACGAATTTGGCTCTATATACCGGGCTAAAACAGTCAGTTACAATCTGTAGTTTTTTGCTTTTGTTAAAATTGTTTTTAGTGCAAGTCTGCTGTGATAGCTTTACCTGTTCTCAAAAGCCAGGTAGAACTTGTAATCCGCCACGAGCTGATCACAAATTTCCGGGGTATCGGTGCTGCACTGCTTGCTTCCGCATTTCCCGTAAATATCCACATGGACATAGTTGGCCAGCAGCTTCACGTACACATCTCGTCGACTGGGAATCCAGTGGCAGTTGGAGACAAAGGTCACGGCGAAACCGGCCTTCTTGGTTAACAGTTCGTCCAGTTGTTGCTCATTGATCAGACTGGGATGAAAGTGCTGAAAATAGGAGTCCGTGACCACATCCGAGTCCAGCCGATACGTAAAGGTCAGGTTGAAGAATCCCCGCTGCCGGTCCAGGTTGCCGAACGTGTGCACCGGGGATTCTAAACTGTAGAAGACGTAGTACTGCTCCGGCCGACGCTGCAATGGGACATCGTCCCAGGAGAAATCCCGCATGTGGAAGACCAGAGCCGCGCTATCCCGGTACCGGCGACGATCGTTGGAGAGGAGACAGTTGGAGTGCGGACACTGGCGTATCCCGGATTCGGCTTCTTGGTGTAGTCGCAGAGACGGTACAAAATCATCTCCATAAAATTTTGTCCACATTAGAATGACATGCTGATGCCTGGAATTCGCTGGATACGCGACGCTATCATTGAAAGCAACTTCTTCCGGCTGGAAAGTTATTTCCGACATGGGCGGACTTAGTAGAGTGTATACTGCTGCGAAAATAAACAGGAGCATGGCGAATCGCGCCGCCGTCTTGGTTACCGGGGATCCTGTTGATTGAAAAGCAGGCATGATATCACTCGGCCAACCGAACTTGTACGGATGCATTTAACTGTATAGTTTCATTAGGAAATTAATTTCGTTTCCAGTGCGCAAAGCTAATGACCCGGCCAGCTAACAAATATTAGAAACATAAAATACAAACAAGTACGGAAGTACAAACAACCTCCCGAAAAACTCGTACTACGAAAATGTGGTCGTTAAAGTGTGTATGTCTAGTATCTGGAGGTCCACTTACTTCCGTCCAGCGCTGCGAACAGCCGGCCATTGACCAGACGTCGTGACCTCCAGGAGCCCCATGCCTTCCACTTGGTGTGTGCCATGGAAATACACTTAGTACAGTATCCGGCCGTTGCAGCATTCAAACCCGACACGGTCAGATACACTAATCGAGATTGCTCGGCCCGACTGGCCGACAGGGCCAATGTACTCCGGTTGGGATCGACGTTACGCATACGGGTAGTAATACACCGGCCTTAGCACATTCCTCATAATATAAATTATGTACCATACCCCAATAAACCGCAATGCTTAATCCGGCTTCACCGTTCTGGCCATCATTCGGATCCAATGAACAGTTTGACACTTGCTACGCCGTCCGCAGCCAACATTACGTACATTCTGTCGGTGCACAGCATGGTCATCGCGCGGCAAACACAAATCAGTTGTTCTGAACACCATCCATCCATAAATTCACAATACAACAATCGGCAACGCCAGTGCTGCACTGCTACAGTAACTGCTCAACCTGCAACGTTTATGGAATCAGCGGCATACAAATGGAAAGAATATGATTACTGTCAAGTAGTTAGAATTTATCTGATGCAGAAACATTTACAACGTTATGCAGAGCAAATCCATACAAACAAAACACACATCATCACAATATTATCATTACGTACAGTATTATGGTTTATGATCGAGGTTGGTACGCAAATAAGCTCCATGCTGTTAGTCTGCCCATGATGCTGTGCTGGTTGCTATGCGACAAAACCCGCGCTACTCTGCCAGCTTCTTCCTCAAGAGGGACTTAATTACCACTTATCAGTACTAAGTTTTTCATCACATAATAATAACAAATAATTATTATTATTATTTTTCAAACCAGGGCTTTTTTTAAGCACTTTTCGTATCTTTTCTAATTATATTTATATTTATTTATTTTTTCATACCAGCTTACCGACTAAAACGTTTTTATGCGCGTTTATAGGGACTCGTCAACGCGTGCCAGTTTAAATCCAGCTTGGTCTTAAAATTCCATATTTTCCCGAGGTGTGCCAATAGATTTGAGATTTTTTTAGTAAACTCTGACCAGAAAATAATTTCATTTTGATGATTTTTGTCTTGCACGCTGTATAAGTCATATTTAGTCATCATCGACAAATTGCTGTCGAACGATGTAGAAATTCGTACAGGAGTGGCAAAAACGACGAAGGTAATTCGAGATAGGGAGAAAACCTTCAGTACATATCACAGCCACAATAACTAAAGAACAGTGGAAATCGTTAGCGCCTGTAATAAAAACAAAACAGAGCGCATCTGGAGCTGCATCACTGGGTCCAGAAATTCAATTCGATTGCTGAATAGTCAGTAAATTTTGTAATTTGCTTCTGCCGGGAAATGAAGGCCATGCACAGCTCGTGCGCAATAAAATTAGCCATTTAGCTACCAGTGTTTTGGTAAATACAATTTTCGAGTGAATAAACAGTAAATATCTGTACAAGCTTGTCCGGTAATTTCTGTCGTAAAGGTACAGATAGCACATATTTAGCGCGAAGTTTGCGCTATAGCGATTGCCACTACACTACATTTGGCGTAACACGCAAATTTGTGTACTTCGCTGTATTGAACCGGCAGAAATTACAGTAATTGAAACAGAAATATAATATTTACCTGCACTGTACCTGCACCAGGATCCTGTACCTGTACATACGAATAACACGGTACACCATGATAATTATTGTGAATTGTTTATGCTGATGTTCCAGTCAGTGCCTTTACAGATCAAGTCAACGTCACATCAGCACCAGCAGACACAGTGTTGTCGTTTGACGGCGGTTCTGGTGCATTGTACAGCGCCAGCAACGAGACCACACCGGTCAACGCCGGCAACAACCAGCTTAATGACTCTGTCAGTCCATTACATCCTGACGGAAGCCTTAACAACGACACCAATCCATCCCTAAATGCGCCATTCACCGAGCTGTCGCAACACATGAACGAGGTGAAGATGCAAATGAAGGCCCTCCAAGATGAACACCGTAGTTGGCGTACTACGGACCAGGAACGGCTACAGCGCCTGGACAGTCTCAGCTCACAAATCAACGCTGCATCGGACAGCGTGCGCATACTACAGCAGGACGCGGCAAGGACGGCTAAAGAAAAAGACAGCCCGGAGCAGAAAATGTGTCCGCGATCAGGAAAGCCTCAAGTCCGCGGTAATTACATAATGCCAATTAAGAAAAATGACCCGGTACATAGCGTCAGAAATGGGATACATAGACTAAAACTTTCGCTTTCGCGCACTCCGAATCACGTTTTTGTAACACTCGTACTTTATGTCATTTTAAAGCTAAAAGATTTATATGCATTTTTCCGAAAACCGTTTGCACGCGCAACATCCGGGTGCCGAGACATGGTGTACTAAAATGGGTGAAAAGTTTAAATGCATTGTTGTGCACCCAAAGTCGCATTACCGGATCTTCTTGAAACTTTGCTGCAAAAGACACATGGCCACAAATCGAAAGTGAACAAATTTCAGATCCTAGATCTGAAATTTTTAGCGTTTTTCCCATTTTAAAATGAATTTCAAAAATTTTGAAACTCAATCTAAAATTATGGGAAAATGCTATGAACCTGAAACTGGTTCACTTGCGACTTTATGGCCATTGTGTCCTTTGCAGCAAAGCTTGAAGAAGCGCGGGCAATAACCAGACTTTTGTTGCACAACAATGCATATAAATTTTTCACCCATTTTAGTACACCATGTCTCGGCACCCGGATGTTGCACTCGCAAACGGTTTTCAGGACAATGTATGCAAATCGTTCAGCTTTAGAATGACATAAATTATAACAAAAAAGTGATTCGGAAGCGAAAGCGAAAGTTTTAGTGTATATATCTCATTTTTGACACCATGTACCCGGCCATTTCCCTAAAGTACAGCGTAATCGCTGGTTTTGTACTGCTTACACCGGCCACTGTAATCGGCCTTGTGTTTCATAAGAAGTATATCTATACAACGAGTGCTTTAAATAGCAGTTATGCTGATTCGTTAACTGTTTTGTAGTCGGCACGTTGGGTGTTAAAGGTCAGTATAATGGTGGCCTCAACGCGCAAGATAAACTGTGTGCCAGCGACGGAAAAACCTGTCTACTGGTCCATCCGACCGGCAACTTAATCCTGTATGACACATCGACGTACCAAGTGAAATGGGAATCGCGCACCTATGTTGGATTTTGTGATGTGGTGCTACATATGCAACATGATGGCAATTTGGTGGCGTACAAAGGAAAAGGCGTTCCGTATTGGCATACGAACCACTTTCGGAGGTAAAGACACCATTACTCTTGCCAAGCTTTAGAGACAGCAATCCGCCAACTGCGCATGATGGGTTTTTAAAATTCCTTGTTGCTGTATTTGTAGAAATGATCCTGACCTTTACAGACAACGGAAGGCTATGCGTGAGGAACCTACGCCAGCCCGGTTGCTCCTGGTTGGCCTGATCGCTTCAGCGGGTGCGACGCTTTTCAGCCATCATGACCATGTCATGTGACCACTGCTGGCTTTTTTAAATAATGTGGTTATTGCTTGCTTGATTACTGATATATTATTATTTATTAGGCTACTACTTAACCCAACTGCGGCTTGTGTCTCCTGCCAGTACTGCTTATCGTTCACCGTTTATCGTGCTGCTTTCTTCTCTGTTTTTGCTTTCTGCGTTGGAAAACAAATTGGATACAAGAAGAAAAGAGCCTAGCATACAGAGAAATCCTTACGTTGTCAAATTAATACAGTACTTTATAGGCGAAATCGTGTAGGATTTTACGAAACAGTTAAAATGATAGGCCGTTTCTGCATCGTTCACAGAGTTACAGAAGCTTCCTATTGATAAAAGCAGGAAACAAGCGCATTTTCCACCATGAAACCCTCGGTTGGTGTTGCCGCCGGTTAATAGCAGGGTTATGCGTACGCCAGCGAAATGCTCTTATCGGCCCCGTATTGAATATCGGACATAAATCATAATAATATTATTGTGAAAAATACACCATGTATTACGGTAATAACGACTCATATGCCAGCGCAGGTCGCAGTTTTAGCGGGATTTCGATCATAAACAATGAAAACTGCCTGCGCCAAGGAATATACCGATTTGAATTCACGTCTCCAGTGCACGCTTAGTTTGAGGCGGCCAGATACCGGTTCTTGATCTGCTGCTGATGACCACCATAAGCTGCTGATACAAGCGATGACAACGCACAGACATTCTTTTTACTCCTTTAATTGGCCGCTAATTTAACAGACCGACTGCCACCAATGTACAACTTACATTCATTAGGACGTAGTGCGCTGGTTAAAATGAACATAGTACTTTATTACACGTAACTACAACTTGGCTTTATTATCGGTTTCTGTCTTTCTTGCTTCCTGTTTCCTTCCCAGAATACAAGCCTGGCTACAAATAGATCATAAAAAAGGACAGGTGAAGCAAAATAGCGCACCGTCAGCGCCTAAGATGATGGCAGGTACATTACGATTATCGCAATGACAGAATTAATTTTTTTTTTCTTACCACCCATATTCGTGCGATATTCATCCAATATTCTCAGTATAGCTATAGAACGTACAAAGACCAACATTTGGCTTAGAAGTTACCTCACTTGCCATATTTCTACAGAAGCGTCCAAAACGGCGGCGTTTTATATCCACATATTTTGTTGTAATTTTAGAAAAAGTTTTTTTTCTGTTCAAAAACACCGGAACGACAACATTGTGTGAAGCCGTGTTATGTGACGTGCAGTCACGTACGTATACAGTTGCGTTCACTGGTAAACAAGTATTTATGCAATTGTTGTGAACTATCTTCACGTAGTTAATCGTGTCTAAAAACGTCTGTTTTCTGTGCTGATTTCTTAGCGTTCGGCTGAAGTTGTGTTTGAGCGATTCAGTATCTGTCATGAGCGTGTACAGTAAAGATCGTTAATGGGATTCAGCAGTATTCTCCGTTGTGTATAACGTAGGAGATACGTTCATTTATCAGCCGTACTTAAGGGAAGTACGGCAACAGTGATGTTGTTCTTAAGCCCGGATAGTGGTAATATGGTTTCGCGGTAGCCTCACGGTTCTGTACAACGTCAGACAAGCAAAATTGTTGGAAAGCGATTTGTTGATCAGTAATTTGTTAGTCACTGGTCGGCAGGTTGAGTGAGTCAGCAATACGTCGGTCAGCAGATTGCCGAAAAAGCCAACGGAGATCAGGGAACTGACTGTGTCACCGTCATCCGGGTACCGGAACCATGGAACCGCCCAGTGTATTGGCAGTGGCGTTCCATAGACGATAATATTAAAAGATAAACTACATCCATTTGTTTCGTTGTGCTTAAGGGAAGTGGCCCGGTACATGGTACCAAATTCGTGTACATGCACGAAATCTTTCACTTTCGCGCACTCCCAAAACCCTTTTTTCTCTTGTTTTATGACATTCTGTAGCCAAATGATTTGTATACACTGACCTGAAAACCGTTTGCGCGCGCAACATCCGGTTCGCGAGTTATGGCTGTTAGAAAATTCCGAAAAGTTTAAGTGCATTCAGGTGTACCAGAAGTCTCATTATGGACCGATCTCCTTCAAATTTTGCACGTAAATGCACATGGCCATGAAGATCGTTTTTACACCAATCCGGACTTTCATGATTTTTTTTCAAATTTTAAGATGAAATTTATAATTTTTTGAATTTCATTTTAAAATTTGAAAAAAATCATGGAAGTCTGGATCGGTGTAAAACGGATCTTTATTGTAACTTTAGCGATTTTAGGGTAACAGTATGGGTCTTTGGGTCTATAGTATGGGTCTATGGGTATCTGTAGACTGTAGTTATCTTGTAATGCAGTGTTTACAAAACCGTTCAGGCAGTAACAAAAATTAACTTAATTCATAATATTATATAATAATAATATATATACTGATATTCAATGACAGTTGTAAGTACTCGCTACTCATGTGACTTTTGTTGGTTTACAGGTTTGGAAACGACTGGACGATTGCTCGGGCTACTCATCGGGGTGTGTCTGGCACTCTGGCGTCATGTTGCTGATCACCATACATCGACTTGTCAAGTAAAATATCTTTTTATGAACCGTTATCTTGTATAGAAATGGTTTGCTACTCTACGTGTATTTGGAGATTGCGTAATTATTTTGCAGAGAATGTAATAAAATACAAGATGGCACAAATATGTAATAGGCTCGCTGTTTATTATAAATAGCGTTGCAGAATTATGAATTTTGGTTGGAAGGGCCGTATCTTACAAGTAGTGTCAAGAAACAAAGCAGCGGTCAGGCCAAACAGAGCGGCTGCACGTAAAGTCTAGAAAGAGATTGAAGGCCAACACGTAGTAGCGTTAGCCCAGCACCACTTCCAATGCAAAACACAAATCAAACTGCACGGCATGCAAACGTAGCGACAATTCACGGACAACCATTACCAGGAGTTATTTGGGGGAAGGGCAGGTTCCTGTTGAAGCAGACGGGAGTGACCAGGATGCACCACTCTTGCTGGGTGGTGTCGGAGCGCGCCCAGCACTCCCGTTTAGCACCTTTGTGGTTCGGCCAGGGCACGTGCAGCGTCAGCGTGGAGGTGCAGTGCTGGCGACCGTCGGCGCCGGTTATCTCGGAGTAGGTGGTGTCGACCATCAGCGTCTGCCGCTCGGGAGCGATACAGGTCATCTGCTGCACATAATGACCCGGCGGCCAGGGCAGGGAGATTCCGCGGTAGCGCCAGATGAAGTGCTGCGTTGGATCGGGACCGCAAGCTGACACGTCACCGAGAACGGAATGTACCACCACACAGTGACCTCCGGCATTAACTGCGCGCACACCTCGTGGATATCGAAAATAGGTTTGGCGACGACCCAGGGATCTACCTGCAAGCATAACGCTCCCAATCCGTAGTACGGCAGCGCGGCAGACACTCAAACTTTCCCCACTACGAGTGGCTAACATGGTGCAGGATAAGGGCATTGCCACGAGTGCGAGTGAAGCGAAGGGTGGCCTTTGTGTTTCATTGGTTGATTTAAAAAACTCCGGAGCCTTGCTAAAAGCAGTTTTTATTAACGACAGATATGAAAAGCCATGGCGTCCTGATACAGTGAAACCAGCCTTAAAACGATATTACTTCAATAAATACACTTTTGAATATAATTCATTGTACAGTACGGACCCGGGTTGGCTGTTGCCTATTGAAGTGTATTAGTATCAGGCACAGATACATGTATGTTATGCGCACTGCTTTTTGTTATACACTGTACGTCTTGTTATCTTATGTATTGCAAAAGTGCTCAAATATATTGCTCCACTGTCGTTCCCGCCAACCAAAGAATACTACAAAAGGCTAACACAAGAAGAACAATTCATTGCAACATACAAAGAGTTATTAAACAAAAGTAACGGATACACAGCAGAATTCTCCACTCGGTCTACCGCTTGGTTGTGCATTCTGCTGACGTGCGCTTGATAACGTTTTGTAATTACTATGAAAACACCATGTATCGATCACACTGCTTAAGGGATTTGGCGCGGTACATAGCATTAAATTCGTGTACGTCCACGGGAACTTTCGCTGTCGCGCATTCCCAAACACTTTTTTTGCATTGCTTTATGGTTTTTTGTAGCCAAATGATTTGTATACAGAGGCGTGAAGTCTGTTTTCGCGTGCTACATCGCGTTCGGGAGTTATGGCTGTTAGAAAATTCCAAAAAGTTTAAATGCCTTCAGGTGTACCAAAAGTCTCAATATGGACCGATCCCTTTCAAATTTTGTACGTAAATGCACATAACCATGAAGATCGTTCTTACATCGATCCATTTTTCTAGCATGTTTTTCAAATAATAAATGAATTTCAAAAATTTTAAAATTCATTTTAAAATTCGAAAAAATCGTGGAAGTCTGGATCCTTGTAAGAACGATCTTCATGATTATGTGCAATTACTTACAAAATTTGAAAGGGATCGGTCCATAATGAGACTTTTGGTACACCTGAATGCATTTTAACTTTTTAGAATTTTCTAAAAGCCATAACTCCCGAACCGGATGTTGCGCGCGAAAACGGATTTCACGCCTCTACGTACAAATCATTTGGCTACATAATGTCAAAAAGCAATTCAAAAAAGTGTTTGGTAGTGCGCGAAAGCGAATAATCCCGTCAATGTACACGAATTTAGTACTATTTACCGGGCCAAATCCCTTAAGTTATAACACGGTTACAACATACAAGCCGTAATGTACATAAACATTGTATTGCAGTGTTTATTAGTTTGCTGTAGTAAGCGTATGCATACACAGGCTTGTCCCGTCATTTCTATCGCATCAACACCACGATAAAAACATTCACGGGATAAACGGCGATCTCCTTACTATGACGCCATAATTACTTCTACAAGTTCCACATGCATTTGCCATGGCTAATACATGCCAAACATCCATCTGACGATAACATGTACGTATAACATGTATCTACGGATATTTGTGGACCATGGAGGTTATCGTTGAAAACTAACAGCGTGTTTGGGATAGTTTTCTGACAGCGTTATCAGACAAATTACGAGTATGTCGGCCATTTTATATTGTGCGGATGACTGCTGCGGGACAAGCAGCCTGTCGCTGGGTCAGTATAGTGAGTAAGGGCCACAGCGCGCCAGCTCAAAGGTCACCCATAACAGCTAGCTGTAATACGGCAGCGTGCGTGTATTTATCGCGGCTTTTAATCAGCTCAGGCTCTTAATACTTCCACATCTAACACCATCTTGTAACATCATCTTCCATCTTGTAACACGTCGCCTTCAGCTGCAGGTATTACTTCGGATTTCGGTGGTGTTACGCCCGAAGCAATCTGGGGGCTTGCCCTTACAACGCTCTCGTTTAACCCTCAACCAGTGAACTCGTTGGTGTGGTGCCTGTGGATTCTGACTGCTTGCTTCTGTGGTTTTTTGTCGGTCTCTTTGTTTGTTAGGTTTGCAATTGTCGTAAATTCATCTCAACTGTCAGTTGTTTTCATAATTTCATTAATTTATGTTGATTTGAAAATGTCGTACAACTAAGTAACTGTACATATGTAAATCAAAGTGTAATAAAACATGTATGTACCCGTACATGTATTAACACACGGCACGTACAATGTAAAATGTTGGTAACCTTTTGACTGTACAGTACATGCTTATATACTGGCTGGTCTGGTAATTCCATTGTAGGGGTAAAAAATGAGAAAACGTGAGAAAACATTTGGTCTACTACAGTTGTAAAGTCGTTCTTCTCAAGATCTCAAGTGCGTAACTATAAAGGGGAAGAGTTAATGTTTCGTAATTTATATCGTTAGTTTGCTGGTATAATGGATAATTTTATCGCTAATACATGTACATATATTAGTACATATGTACTAGATATGTGTGCACATGCAGTAATACCTGCAGCTGAAGGCGACGTGTTACAAGATGGAAGATGATGTTACAAGATGGTGTTAGATGTGGAAGTATTAAGAGCCTGCGCTGATTAAAGCCGCGATAAATACACGCACGCTGCCGTATTACAGCTAGCTGTTATGGGTGACCTTTGAGCTGGCGCGCTGTGGCCCTTACTCACTATACTGACCCAGCGACAGGCTGCTTGTCCCGCAGCAGTCATCCGCACAATATAAAATGGCCGACATACTCGTAATTTGTCTGATAACGCTGTCAGAAAACTATCCCAAACACGCTGTTAGTTTTCAACGATAACCTCCATGGTCCAATTATTACGCTACGTTGGACGATTACAGGTTGAATATCGTATTTTTATCAGCTACATACTGTACAAAATGAACGAAAACGACAATACGGTTTCCCACTTTGCCTCCTTCAGCATTATTATTAGAGTAATTATTGTGCAGTGATCGGTAATTCGGGGGAAGCGTGTAACCTCCGTCGGCGATAAGGAAACGCCATCAACGAAGGTGATAACGCCGCAATGACAGAGACAACCATAACCGCCAGCATATGCCGCCACCGCAATGCTTTTATATAATTTCCAGTGATACTGTAGAATTATGTTATCATTTCATCGACATGATATCCTTTCACAGTGACTTTGCAAGAGTCGTTTATAGCCACAAACCTCTTTCGACTTTTCTAAATAATCGATTACTTTTGCTATATACAGTATTGTCTTCGCTACCGAATTTCCTAAAGACACAAGTTTCTAAAACAATTTTTATTAAATTTGTAAAATTTCAAAATATGACATTTTAACACAGTCAGTTTGCATGCAGTAATTTCTGATCAGTGAAATTAAGATGTACTTTAAATATTGCGGAGAGTAGATTTGTCGTTGGTTGGCGTAGTGTATTGGCTGTCTTTCATAGCGAGCTAAATAAAGATATTACCTTTACGTAAGAAATTATAGGACAAGCTTGTATAACGATAAATTTTCGAAATTTTTGTCCGTTCAGGAAATTGAAATACACGGGCAATCCGTTGCTTACAAATACAGCGCAAATCATCGGTTGTTGCGAAAAGTTCAAATCCACTGTTTTACATGAAATCGTGTGCGGTAATTCTCTCCAGAAAGTGCCGTGTGGAAGTACGGTCAAAGGTCAGTTTTTGCGCTGAATATTGTAACCAGGTGGAATTCGTTCGCCGGTCCACAATTATGTTCGCGAGTAGCCAGTGACAGGCAGCAGCATTTCCGGCTACAACGTGCACTCTGCCCGCGCGCTGCGTTCTCTTCCTGTACACAGCAGTGCTGACATTATTGTGCCCGGATGCCCTTTGCCTGCTGCGTGGACTTTGGCCGCGCCTGCACGTCCTGCGTGCTACCATGCGGCAGCGGTATAAAAGCTGCGGTGGCCAGCGCAGCGCCGCTCTTTCTGGCGGCTGGTTATCGAACGCGTAACGTGCATTCCGCAGCTAACATATAGACTTATATGTCCACGCCACGCAACCGATACCGCGGCGTCCCTGGTGTATCTTATCGCGGCGCGTATTACTTCATCCTTCCGTCCGTGTAATTCGCAGCATCATCCCGCTCCGTCTGCTGGTCGAAACACCGCTGCTGCGTAGTGCACGCTGAGTTTAACCACGTCTTTCTCTACTCGCTGGAATTTAGCAGTCGTTCTGTTTATCTGCTGATTTTGACAGTTTGTCACGTGGAGTGCGTCGGATTTTCTGTTTTCTGTTGGAGACGTTGATCCTACACTATTCATCATGACGATTGTTGATCCTTCGGAGACCGGGACGGTCAGTTATCAGAAAAGGTTAGCACTGCTTAAAAATCACTGTCTAGTTGTAGTTTTTCCAATGCTTCGATCAGAACGATTATAGTTCTTTTTAATTAATAAAAATTGCCGCTTCATATGGCGTTTTCACAAACCGCTTCATATGGCGTTTTCCCTATCGGCAATAATAGATAAAATATTAACTAAAAACTCAGCGGTACTTTGCGATTGCTTTATTCGGCTAATTCTTCCGAAACCCAGGCAAATATGCATGATGTAAAATTTACATAAATGATGTGAAAAATACCATAATATTTGTAAATACGTGCGTATACCGCTTTTTTTTTTATCTTGCATACTACAACGATCTGTAAGTACGTGAATAAAAATATCGTTGCGGAAAACGTTTGAGCAATTCACCATAATTATACAAGCTACAAAACGATTATAACTTTGTTTTATCTGGATCTGGTTTCGTCTTACCTTACACTGAACCCATAAGAAAATTTTCTTTCATTTGGAAGATACAACCTGGTTAAATATGAAGCAGCTTTACTGAAGAAAATAAATTTAATTTTTATATTATGAGGAAGTAGTTGACAAACGAGGCAGCTACGATTGAGTTACTGATGGTTGGCCGCGATGCCCTTGAGGCTGCATCGCGTTAAGCGTCCTAATGCTTCGCTCGATGGTCGATGGACCGGCGATGCCAATCAGGTGGCATGCCGCGCGCGCGGGACACCAGAATTCCGTGCTTTCCCGCTGGCGATCAGCGTGCGGCTCACTGTCAAGGTTATGTGACAAAAACATCCCGCTCCAAGGTCCTTAGGTAGTTGTTGCCAAAACCCCAACGCACAACGCGTAATACAACAGTTATTACATCCGTACCGCTTGTACGCGGAGCCGATCAGATTTTACTGTACTTTTGTACAGTACAGGGTTGTCTTGCTGAGAACTGATTCCCTGATACAATTCTTTCCTACCATCAGACAAAGACTAACCCCGGCGTCAGATTCGTTGGGTAGCTGATGCCCGATATGGGCTAGTTAGTGCGCAGTACAAGCGTGTTATTTCTGGCAAGGTGCCGTTGATTTCGGCTGTTTTCCTCGCCCGGAATAACTTGCTGCCCAGCAGTGCTATTTCCGCTGTAAGCAGCAATGGCAAAGGTCAAACAAACTGACAAATTAACCATCAGGAGCTTATATATCCGGCAGAACTCGTTAATCAGACAATACGCAATTTCTGGATAATATACCTAATTCAACATTTGGATTTAAGTTTTATCGTGTTATTTGATACTCGTACATAGTTTTTTGGTATAATAAAATCGAATTAATTATTACCAAGTTTTTTGCTAGTAGCGTTTCTAGCACTTTACGTGAAAATTATTATAAAGATTTTTATAAAAATACGGCTTCTAAAATAATAACAAACTTACATTTCATTAGCATGGATAAGTTGAATTAAATGGGTAAAGTCATTAAATGGGTAAAGGCCTGGGCATAATTTAAGGAAAGTAGTTCTATTTTTAAGGAAAGTTGCACCAACTTCTTGTACGAGTATGTACGTAATGTATACACAAAATTGTTTTAATTTTTAAAATTATTTTGAAAAACTGAAAAAAAACTTTCGAACTCTGGTTCGATGCAGGAAAGGTTTTCATAGTATTATGTGCGATTGTGAGCAAAATCTGAAGGGGATCGGTTCGAAATGAGGCTTTTGGTACATCTGAATGCATTTAGACTTTTTGGAATTTTTTTTGCCACTGTATAAATCTTCAACGGGATATTGCTCGTTGAAGTACCAATCATCGGGCTATAGAATGCCATAAAGCAATGCAAGAAAGTCTTTACGAGTGCGCTAAAGTTTTCGTATATGTACACGAATTTGGTACCATATTACCCTGACTGAAAAAAATATACAGCTTGTATTGTGTAATGCAGCATCCCCGGCAACGCCTCGCCGAAGATGGAGCTGTACGGGAACGGCAGCCTGGCGTCCAGTCCGTCCGATCCGCTGTGCAACGGCTTCCACTACAGCGTCGACGCCAAGTACACCAGTCCCCCCAACGGTCTACGCGGCGTCAGTCCCATCGACGGCCACTGCGGTCCGGACCAGTGCGCCCCGGCCGACAACATCTGGTCCATCCAGCCCGGCACGCCCGTCAAGATCCGCATGGGCAGCCATCCGCACACCGACGGCGTCCAGCCCGAGTCCGTGCCCACCTGGTTCACGCGCATCGCCACCAACAACGCCGCGCGACCGGTACGCTTACGATCTCTTAACGGGCGAGAATTGCGCGTTATTAATATTATTATTGTTATTAATATTACGGCACAAGAGCAGACAACCCCGAAATGACTTCAAGACTGCTCGAACAAATTACAGTATTGGGATGCTTATAGGCACTAAAGGTCAAGCGTGATGGAGCCTGGAAAACCTGGACATACCAGCAGTATCATAACGATGTTGTGGCCGCCGCCAAAGCCTTCATCCATCTCGGCTTGGAACCGTTCCACGCTGTCGGGATAATCGGGTTTAACGCGCCCGAGTGGTTCATTTCCGATATGGCCGCCATTTATGCCGGGTAAATACAACGAAATAAACATTTTATTTTAACTTTAAAATTATTTATGAATAATTTTAATACCGATTTTCAACAAATAAAAAAAATCGTAGAAACTATTTTATTATGTACTAGTAATTCTTGTTTATTTAATATTTATGAAATTAATTCAAACAAACTTTTTGTTATTTTATGTAACAAATATTTATTAAGAAACGAACAAATATTTTTTAAGAAATTATTATTTTTTAGAACAAGCTTTTAAAATTTTGCCAAAAAGAAGTTATTATGCATGGTTACTCGGTCTGCGGTCACTTCTCGATGAGTTACAGGAATTTATGGAAAATCGGATCGATTATGTTAGAATTCATGGTGTTTTGTAGCGGCTTGGCTGTGGGAATTTATACGACCAACTCCGCGGAAGCCTGTTTATGGAACGCCTCCGACTCGCGCGCCAACATCATCGTGTGCGACGACGACAAGCAGGTGCAGAAGATCATGAAGATCCGCCACGAACTGCCGCACCTCAAAGCCATCATCCAGTACCTGGGCACGCCGGCGCACGGGCCCGAAGAGGGCGTCTACAGCTGGGCGGAACTCCTCGACCTGGCCAAGTACGTGCCGGACGTGGCCATCATGGAGCGGCACGCCGCCATCGCGCCCAACAAATGCTGCACAGTCATCTACACCTCCGGCACCACCGGCAACCCCAAGGGCGCCATGCTCAGCCACGACAACCTGCTGTGGACCTCGCGCATGGCCATGACGGAGGCCTTCACCACGCTGAAGAGCCGGCGCGACATCCAGGAGACCTTCGTCAGCTACCTGCCGCTCAGCCACGTGGCGGCGCAGATGACCGACCTCTACCTGTCCATCAACACCGCCGGCGTGGTGTGGTTCGCCCAGCCGGACGCGCTGAAGGGCACCCTGGTGGATACGCTGCGGGAGGCGCGGCCCACGGCGTTGGTGGGCGTGCCGCGGGTCTTCGAGAAGATGGCCGAGAAGATGCAGGCGGTCAGCAAGAAGAACGGCGCCGTCAAGACCTGGATCGGCTCCGTGGCGCAGGATGTCGGGCTGCGCGGCAATCTCAAGCGATTCAATGGGTAAATCTTAATGACCTTTGGCAACATAATTATATTATAACGGCATATTCGTTAACATATAAGACTTATTAAAAGCACTTACATGTACGTTTCCAAAAAATACGTTAAATAATTAAGCTTATACGTAGATAAAACTAGCAAAACATTTTATATCAAACTACCTATGTGTAACGGTCTTGATGACCTTTGCGCATATATATGCACGCCGTATGTATATCCGTATATTCGAAATATGTTCTCATACATAAAGTTCTGGGATATTATTTTACGAATATAGATATGCATGTTATGCACACCGTATATATAGGGGGAAAAATGTGTCTAGCCGAACCAATCCCTTGTACTTCTGATGTAAGCCAGCTCGTGGTTAACGTTGCGGCTTGACAGTGTTTTCTGTAAAGCGCTGCTATTAAGATTGCAGGTACTGATAACAGGTAAGCAGCACTCGTACAACTGCAGGTAAACAGGCTTAAACTGTATTATAGCCCGCACCTGCCTGGTGCAGCTAATACCACATGTACCGTCAATGCCGCACAGCCTTAATAGCAGCGCTTTACATAAAACGCTATGCATCCACAACGTTAACGTAAACCACCAGCTGGCTTACATCAGAAGTACAAGGGATTGGTTCGGCTATACACATTTTTCCCCCTATATGCGTTCATATGTAAATATTAATGTAAGACATAAGATGTTCATAAAATAATGAGTTATGGTGACGTTTGCGGATGTTTATACACAAAAGATGTGGGTTATCTCATATGTGCAATGTGATACCCATATATAAATCCTGATGGTGACCTTTGAATAATAATATAAAACGATAACGCACTACTACAACTTGTAACCGTAGTGTGTAATCATTGCTGTTGTACTACTACAACTGTACCAGTATCGATATGCATGATAGGTAGATGTATACATATGCATATTATGTACATCAAGATTTATATATAGATATGGGTATTACATGGTACATATGATAAAACCAATAGCTTGGGTGTATTAGAGTATATACGTGCCGCATCCGCACCGTCACCAAAATTTATATATTTTAGTATATACGTGCAATGTCCAACAAAATTTTCTCGACAAGTTTGCGTTATGTACATGTGGGCTTAAATAGGCGCAGTAATGGCAACGGCAACGGCAATCCGCTGGGCTGGACACTGGCCAACGCGATGGTCTTCAAGAAGGTTCGCCAGGCACTCGGTCTAGATCGTTGCATCTTCACCTGCTCGGGCGCCGCGCCCATGATGAAGGAGACGCTGGAGTACTTCCTCTCCTTCAACATCCCCATCTACGACATTTACGGCATGAGCGAGAGCTCCGGTACATCACGCTTAATCTGCTGCAATATACTGCGATAGCAGTTATTAAAATGCTCTCTTTTTTAGCTCCCCACACGCTAAACCTGCCCGGCGCTTTCAAAATCGGTTCGGCCGGTCGGGAACTGATCGGCGTGGTGACGAAGATCGACAAGCCGGATGCTGGCGGCAATGGCGAGGTCAGTTACCATTCGTGCTGCACATAAAGGTCGAAGAAATAAATGTGGCATCTTTTGCGCGGCAGATCTGCATGTACGGCCGGCACATCTTCATGGGCTACCTGGGCAACGAGGAGAAGACCCGGGAAGTGCTGGACGCCCAGGGCTACCTCCACACCGGCGATATCGGGCGGAAGGATAGCGAAGGCTTCCTCTTCATTACCGGCCGCCTCAAGGAGCTGCTCATTACTGCCGGCGGCGAAAATGTCCCGCCCATTCCCATAGAAGTATGTGCGCACTTGATAGCCGACATCATAGTATAAATAAATTATTATAGCAATATTTATTACGTAAATGCATGTTAAAAAATAAATGTAAAAATTGTTTGCCATATAAATATAATTACAATTTTAATGTATACATGTACAGCTAATTATATAGTATCGTACTACAATAATTACTATGTATATTAAAATTAAATGAAATGTTTAGTAAATGTCTAATATAGTAAAGATGTTTATTATCGGTGATTTATAACAGGACGCGATCAAGGAAGAACTGCCGATTGTCAGTAACGCTATGGTCATTGGCGATAAACGGAAATTCCTCGCCGTTTTATTAACGTTGAAATCGGAGATTGACCTGACGACCGGCGCTCCACTGGACAGACTAACTAAGCCCGCACAAGAATGGTAATAATAGTTTTATTGAACAGCAGTTTTCGTATTAGTCACTTAATCTTATCCATTTATTCAAATTTCTTTCCTTTTCATTATTATTATATATTTTGTAATATTTGGAAGTATTCTTCATTAGAAATTACAATTTCTTGCTGTTAACCCTGAAATTCTCGATACCAGTTCTGCACCTGCCTTGAAATTCTCACTCAAATCTGTTGATCTCTCTTACATGTTCACATTCGAATTTACTTGTTTTGTTGGACCCCACTTGAATTTCCTTGGTTGTCTGCTTTTGTGCCGTAAATGTAATAATAATAATAATAATAATAATTTAATTATGTGTTTGTACAGGATTAAGGAAAACGTCGGCCAAGATGTCAGTACGGTGACGGAGGCCGTCGGACTGACCAGTCTGCAGAAGATCATTGAGAAGCGCATGGCGCTGGTCAACAAACGCGCCACCAGTCGCGCCCAGTGCGTGCAGAAATTCAAGCTCCTCCCCGAGGACTTCAGCATCCCCGGCGGCGAGCTGGGTCCCACGCTGAAGCTGAAGCGCAACGTCGTCGCCGCCAAGTACAGCGACCTCATCGAGCAGTTCTACGACGACACCGATTCCTGAGCGAAACCACGCCCATCTCTGCCATGCATCGTTGTCGTCGCACGGTGCTGTCTTTTTCTCTCTGTTATTCATGTGTGCTGAGAGAAGGCATGACCTTTCAGAAAGCGTTTTTGCTCACTGTAGTATAATCTTGCGCCATTTTTAAGATTCTCATTTTTCTGTCATGTGCACCGTGGTATAATGTTATTTACATGATATTAAGCATCTCTTACCGAGATTCGCTCATAATAATCCGTGCATCAGTAATCAGTATTCGATGAACGTATAGACATAACAATTATCACAATTGTCTGTCAACGTTGATTATGGATGCTTAAAAGACAGTACAGTAATATACGATAGAAATCATAGAACAACATGCGTCGGCTGCCTATATGTCCGCAATGCAGTATGCCCTTGTAGCCCTACTTCGGTTTTTCTCATATTTCGGTCACTGTGAATATTCTTTCCTATGTAAACGTTCTTATATTTTGGTCACCTGTTGTTAAAATTTCCGGACAATTGCAAAAATACCAGAAACGAATAGCTTTCATAGTAAAAACTTCGCTCAGTAATTTCGAAGCAGGAAGTAAACGAAATTTCCATAAAAAACCAAAGTCGAACAGGGACAGGACCAGGTGCACTGTGAAGCAACCGCTCTTCCACGTTTAGACATTTTAGAAATTTTTAATTCCAACATTTTTATTTTTGTTTTTTGTTCTAATGACTACCGACCATTGACGAAGAAATGAAACCGCACGTGGTGCGATCAGCAGCTGCTCCTGTAGCGCACCACATGGGCGGTGGTGTTAGTGACCGGTGGAGCCAAACATGCAACTCTGTACGCGTACTTCTCAGTTATAGCAGTCAGCTCATCTGCATTCTGTGCGCTAGTAAACCGTCGATCAAACCGACAAAATTATGGGCAACTCTCGCATACACTGGGCGACAGCACGCAACGTTCGGACTGGCAGTTCAAAGTCCATCCTGGCGTGTGGCAGTCAGCCGCACCTGTCATCGAGCGGCCACAGAACCCTGCAGTTACCTTCGCACCATTACGCCACGGGCATGCCGTCGCCTTCGCATTATTTCTGAAAATCGAACCATGGCTGCGCGTCTGTACTTGGCTTTTCAGTAGTGTTTTCCCCGAAGAACGAGTCTTTCGCATTGGCGCCCAGGAAGCAGTTATTACTGGGAAGCATCTGGTTCCGAATTAACTTCGGAAATGAATCTTCCTGGAACGTTTCAGCCAACTGTTTTGACTCTGTAGCGCATTACACGCTGCGGAGTGGGGACAGCCATCACTCGAAAGGGACGAATTCGAAATTCGAAGAAATTACGCTACAGCGAATCTACGTAATGGCCTGCCCCCGCAGCATGCGCCGCAGCCTCTCCTGGATGACTAATTCCCAAAATCGTCCGGATATTCGGTCTAACTCTTCCCTGGGAGAACGGGAGCGAGCAGAACGGGATGGACGATTATGCCATCCAGTGTTTTCAATGGAGACGGGTGCCGGGGCTGCCGCGGCCCGGGGCGGCTGCCAGCGTGTTAATGGCAGCGCATAAGTACTGGTTTTAGTCGGCGTCGGGCATCCAAGACGAAAATATCCGTTATGGGATCCCCGAAAATTGCGACGAAATACCCAAAAAAATGTCAGATGTTACTTTTTTTCCTGATTTATTTTTGAAACATTTTTGGTGTTGTTTAACGTAACTCCAAGTTTTTTTTCTGATTTGAGCTTATTTTATTGATTCTTAAAAACAGTTATTTTCATTAACGCCGATGTAGTCTTTTTAAAAATTAAGTTGATTATTGATTTTAGGAAAATTTTTAATTCGGTAACATTCGTAGCTTCTTTTTCTAATTTTTGTCTGTTTTGATTTTATTTGAACAACCGATTTTCACTAATAAAATTGCAAAATCAACGCTACAGGCTACAGTGATATTTAATTAACTAAGTTAACATAATGAATATTTATTTACAGGTTGTTAGATTCGCCAGCAAAATCCAAATTATTCTTAAAATATTTACGGAAATTAAGGAAATGCAAAAATCCTTTAGGTTGAGGAAAAACTTGAGCTTAAATAATTCGGAAAAATAGATCAGTTGTTTTCTTTATTTGCAGAACAATTTCATTTATTCTTGTTAATATAATTCTTGCCTTTTCTCTAGTTGCTGGATTTATTAATTTTTGAAACTTTTAATTTTTAATAATTATATTTCGTTAACACAATTTTTGTCCGTTTCTAAAACTAATAACCATTTTTTTTTTATTAATTTTTAAGAAAAGCTTAATTTTGTTAGCAATGCTAGCATTGTTTTTAATTCATATTTATTTTGGTTATATTTCAAAAATGTGAATTCGTTGATGTACAGAGTAAACGTGAAATTTATTCTTCAAGCTCGAGTGTTATTTATGTAATTAACCAAATGCAATTAAAATTCGAAAGCCTAAAATATAAAAGCAGCGGAAGGAACGGGAAGTTAGAATCGAAAAATAAAATGAAAGAATAAAACTGAAAAAAATCTAGAAGAAGGAGAAACTGACCGGTTGTCCCCGCGGACCAGCAGCGCGTTGAGGAACTGGCAGAACGCCGGAAGCAGCTCGTGCCGGCACTCCGCTAACTATACTCTAGCGGAAGAGCGGACTCGGGATGACGGCCCGGTCGCCCTGAAGTTCTGCCTGTTACCGGGCTTCGTGCAACGCTGGCCGACCCAGTCCGACAAGCAACCGGCTACATCCCGCAGGATCGCCGGGAGGAGCGGGAACCTGGAATTTCAGTGAGAATGCAATTGTACACAGCTAAATCAATATCGTAGATGAACGCATCCTTTAAACTGCAATTAAAGCTATAATAAATTAAAAGTTACGCTAAATTAACTGATTTAATTCAAATTTAATAAAAATTAATTTGAACAAATCTAATTAATTAAAATTTAATTTAATTTAGCTTGACTTAATTAAAGTTTAATTTACACAGGTATCACAGTCACATTGGCCGACGCACAGCAATTATTATAAGAAGAAATTAACCGGGAACTCTGTAAAATAAATTAAATTAATTTTATTTAATTAGAGGAAAGTGGAAACTCATTTTCAGTACGACTACATACTGGGTCAACAGGACGAAAAGGACAGGATCATCTGAAGACGATCGATGCGCTGCCTCGTTGGATTTGCACGCTGATCCGGTGCTGCGCAAACTCTGCTGCTGGCGTTGTGCCTGTTTCTGCAGGATCATCTGGGCGCGGACACCTACCAGCTCGGTCCATCGGGTCCGCATGATCCCCAGCTCTCCCAGCCTCCGGGGACGACCCGTCGATCATCCTCAACGCGCTGCATGCCGCGATTTTCCTCGGTCTTGCTCCGCTCATCTAGCGCTGCTGCTGCTCACTTCGGCACGAGTGGAAGGCGCGGCGATAAACGGCAAGGCCATAAGGTGTTACGGCATGGTTGGTTAAAGAAAGAATTGTATTTGTATTTTTTCTAGTGAGTGTCAGAATTACTGCTTGATCATCGTGCAGCGGCGCAGCGCGCTGACCGGTGTGGTGGGCCGTCTGCAGCCTTTGCGGATGGGACGGCCGCCCGGGTGGTCGGTTCACGGCGCCTCTGGTCCTTCCTTCGTTCAGTTCGTTGCAGCTGCAGTTTGCAAGCTACCCGTGCGTTAGTTCTAATTTACAATTTTACACTTGATAGTCAGCCTAAATTACAGCCCATAACACTGATAACAGGCATATGCCTGTTATGGGCTGATTAATTACCCAAAAATTATCTGAATTTCCAAATCAATTAGCTAAGCCGTTTTCTACTGTTGTTGGTGTCTCTGCTGTATGATTAAAGTATAATCATCATTGCCAGGTTATCGTTGTTCTGCTGGCCGCCGCTGCAATGTCTCCGTGCTGGAAAAGAGGCACTTGCCTGTCACCGACATGGTTGACGCTTCTTATTCTGCTGCAGCTTCACTGCTCCGACGGATGTTCCCTTCAGCAGCCGACGGCCGCCAACCGTGAGTACTGCGTAATTATCCACAGGGAAAATAGCTTTCCCCCTGGATTGCGGCGAGTGGTGGGCTGGTTACTGTGCTCGGAACACGCTCCCTGAAAACAGGCTCTCCGATTGCGCAACTGCGCCGGATTTCTGGCTAAAATGCAGCTGTACGCATTTGTCGTCGAGTTAATTTAGTTGTCCAGTTCCGGTGCGCTAGATTCGAAAAACGTCTAATTTTTACAATTATTACGAGGCCGGTGTGGCGAAAATAATAATATTCGAAAATTTGTTTAATATTTTTTCATGGATTTTCTGGTGTATTTCGCAGGATAACGTGCGTCGCTGGGCGTGGCGAGCGAAATGGAGCTTTTTCTCTGAATTCCGAGCTCGGAAAAAAAGGGAAATTTTCTTGGAATTTTAGATGTTCTGTACATGCGGGCCGCTGGACGATTTGCCTTGATAGATAATTTTTTTCAATATTTTTTCGGTTGAGTAACTTCCATCTCATAAAATCAGGCTAAAAAAAAGACACCAAAATTTTCAAAAAAACCCAGCATTAATTTCCAGTATCCTGAATGCGTGATAATAATATATCTGCATTAGTAAAGGAGCTGTCTACTGAGTTCAACAATAATAATAATAACAATTGATAATAATAATGTTAATTATTAATTCAGTAAAATACAATAAGTACGATTGTGTCCGGAAATTGTCTCAGCCAGAGTTTCTGTGTTATTTTGCTGTACCTGCTTGTTTTTCTCCTTGAATCTGCTGTACCAGTTTGTCGGAGACCGATAGGGCTGAATACTTGACTTAGAGTAATTGTTAAATTGTTTCGATATAAATTAAATTCGGAAATAAATAAATTAATCAATAATTAAACTCGGAAAAATCACCTTGAAATTTTTGGAAAATGCTAATGACGTCTGTAGAATTTTCGGGAACGAATCGCGCCGGGTTCCGCGGGTGTATCTGCGTAACTTTCTATCTCAAAAAATTCAACTAAAAATGCAAGAAATTTTCTACTAATCCTAAAACAGCTTTCCTGTAAGCTGTTAACATATCTCCATTAAAAGAAGATGGCTACTGTAGTTAGATAATAACACCAATAAAGAAAAGAAAAAATGCCGGAGGTGTAGATGACCGTGCAGCACTTGTTGGGCGCGATGGCGGCGTGCCGCTCCAGGATGGCCACGTCCGGCACGTACTTGGCCAGGTCCAGCAGCTCCGCCCAGCTGTACACGCCCTCCTCGGGCCCGTGCGCCGGCGTGCCCAGCTCCTGGACGATGGAAAATGCTGATATAAATACGTACCCCCAGCCAAGCCGCTATAAAATACCAGAAATCTTGAATTTTATTCTAATCCTGGTTTCCGGTAATTTAAGATTATATAACTATAATCGGAAAGTCGCTGGGTAACGATGCATATAACAATATTTCAGCAAAATTTCAAAAGCTTCCTCTAGAAATATAATAATTCTATATAAAATGATAATAGATAAAAACACGATCGATTTGTATCCGGAAACTGCAGCTAGCACCGCCGCACCGCAGCTAGCACCGTTCTAGCTTTTTAGCCAATAGCGGCCCCTCTGAAGTGTGGCTTCGTGCACAACAAACGCAGCCGTTTGGTTTCTCCTTATCCATAGCTTCGTATTCTTGGGAAGTACATTCGCCGTGAGGACCTCTGTTGGAATTCAGTCAGTTTTGTTTTGAGGCAGTTTTGAAATGAATTGAAACTTTACAATCAGAAATAACGATAAGGGGAAACAAATGAATAAAAAAAATTATTTTTCCAATATTTTCTGTTGTAAAGTGTCAACATAGATTGAAATATTGTGTACTGTCCCCTTGTGGCAGTGGGCGCGCGCTGACGGACAGCCACAGTAGCTTGGCGACTGCCGAATTTATAGAGGAACGTGTTCTTAACGGAATAAGAAGACACGATGCAATTACAACCCTGCCATCAATTTAGCATGTAAAGATACGGGTAGAGCGATACTAGTGCGAAGTTGGCGCTTGTATGATGGCCACTGCACTACGTTCATCGCAATGCAAAACTGCGCTTCGCAGTTGGATTGTCCTGTACTGCATCGACCGCTTTGTAGCCACCTTACGCCAGGTAGTTATAATTGTTCTCGTTAAAATATCCGGTGTGCACCAAGCCACCAGCCAGCCAAATGCATGTTACGTGTTTAGACAGTATGCCGTGGCGCGCCGTAGTACGGATTTACAAGCTACCCGTAAATTCCTAATGTTCGCTGTATTTACGAATGCTCAGCTTGTCGACAAGCTTTTACAACTGATTTGCACGTTAGTGAAGGACATGCTGACGGAAGCCATGCCGCACCGACAGGACGACCGCGTCGTATTCCCGGGGTTGGCGGTGAACAAATTCCTGACGGAATGCGTGATGGACCGGCCGCGTTTGGGCGAGAACACGACGTTCCACTGCCGCGTTCCGGCCGATGTGGACTGGCGTCATGTGTCCTGGGTGCACCAGAACTGGGTCGTCTTCGAAGATGGACGGCCGCAGCCGCTGCCGGCGCAGGACATCACGGGGCAGACCTACAACTTCACCCACGTTAACGATACATTGACCGTCGTCGTCCGCAACGTCACCATGCGCTCCGGCGGCCTCCTGCAGTGCGTCATCGACCCTCCCTACACCCGGGAGCGCCGCATCCTGCAGCGCTTCCTCATTCTCCCGCTGATCACGCAGCGCCGCGACGTCTTCGCCGCGGCCGACGAGAGTAACGTGACGGCCATCGAGGGCGAGGAAGTCACGGTGCAGTGGCACATCCGGCTGCCGGTTCCCGAAGGCCTTCTCCTGAACCTGCCCAGCCAGTTGATGTGGGTGCATCAGGGCCGCATCGTCCAAGGTCCCTGGGAGGCGCCGTACGGGCTCCCGATGCCCGCCGGGGAAGGACCCCGGGATGTGGAAGCTGACTACCAATTGGCCGTCAACAGCCCTGGCCAGCTTTTGCAGGTGGAATTTCACTTTCGAGCCGTCACGCTGGCGGATGGAGGATCGGTCCAGTGCTGGTTCCGGCCCCACCTGGGCGTGCATGAGTGGATTGTGCAGACGAAGACGCTGCTGGTTTTACCCAGGAACGGCACACAGAAAAGCGGCATTGATCCGGTATTGGATGGGTTCGATATGGCGGTGCTGAGCCGATAATAACCCGCGCTGCTGACGGAGCTGAACTTTTCTATATGATTATTGATTGGATTTGAAGTTTTTGTAATGGCGGGAAGTGATCGAGAATTGCGATCGCTTATTTGAGAAACTGCATACGTCATAATAATAATATCCAGTTAACCATTTGTCGTGCTATCTTTGGCACCGCGACATTTCTCCGCGGACAACTAGTCGCCGGACTTTTGGTCGCAGACATTTCACCGCAAGCTGCCATCTCGCCGCGCGACGTTTCGTCGCAGAACATTTCATCAGCGGGACTTTACGCCGCGAGAATTTCCGTCCTATGACCGTTTCGACGCAAGGATATTTTGCCGCAAGGACATCTCCACGAAGCGACATTTCGCCTATCAGATAAACGATTTGCTAATATAACTAAGAGTTAAAAAAAGGAAATCTAGAAAAGAACAAAACCAAACAAACAACCTAAAAAACCTGAGAACCTAAAAACCTAAGAAAAACCTCGAAGACCAAAGAAAGAACCTAAACAACTCAAAGGAAAACTAATAAACCTAAGAATTTAAATAAGCAAACCAAAGAATACATAAGAACCCTAAAAAATTTTAAGAAAAACTAATAAAACCCAAGAAACCTAAGAAACCCAAGAAAGTCTAAGAAAGACTAAGAAAACCTAAGAAACCTAAGAATAAAACCTAAGAAAAAATAAGAACACGTCTAAAAAACTGATAAACTAGTGAGAATTAAGCGCGGTAAATTATTTTTCGGTGACTTGTCAGATCCTTCGAAAAGTCCAACGACGAATTTTCCGCGACCATACGTCTTGCGTCGAAAAATGGTAAAGTAAAATACCAGATCTGACAGTAAAAGCAGCAAAAAGGCGTTGAAAATTAATGGTTACCGGTTTATTCTGTAGAATAAACTGCCAGTAACACAGCAGCTTTTCGAAAAGGCATGCTCAACAAAAGCGCTGCAGAGCCATTTTTTGGAGGATTAACATAAATTTGTAAGCAAAACATTAGCGGCACCGTGTTTAGTTGCTATTGACCAATATATGGCCAGCCCCCTGGGGGTGAGTCATTGACCACCCCCAGGGGCAGTGCCCCTGTGTAACATACACCTCTTTACAACATTCAGAGAGCTGGGAACGGAGGGTGTATGTAGTAGAGGGATTTTACTGTAGATTGCCCAAAATTTCCCCTTTGCTCGTGACTTTTTGGTTGAAGCGATATATTTTCCCGGTCGTGCTGCGGACGGTTATATCTAGTGCTATGGGGAGATTGTGTCCAGCTGTACAACTACACCAGCTGTGGGATTTTGAGTACGAGTACAGCGTGCGACAGGACGTGACGTTAACACTGAACCGGTGACAGTGTAGAACGATCACATGAACAGAAGCAGTTCGATGCGCCTAAAACATTGATTACTTTTAAAAATCGCTCCAGTACCTAGTTAAAAGAATGCATCGGAAGGAGACCACAAGTACATTACGTACAGTATTTTGCGCAAGGGCTAACCAATTCGAGGAGTTTGGCGTAAGCTGCGCATTTGTATCTGTCGCTGTGTTGACGCACATGTGTTGATTTAATTTGTACAAATCAAAATGCGTTTTATAAATGCTGATCAATAATTACTGAATGCAACAGTCATTATGTCCTTACAGAATTAACGCGACTGGTTGTAGCAGCACTATCCCTGGCAGATTTGCATGATTCATTTGCGGTGAAACCATCGAAAAACCGGCCATTAGGAAGATAACACAAGCATTCACATCGTGGTTACCTTTGAGCGTGCAAAAAGCATGGTGTCTGTTAGTTTGCACAGATGGTCTTAGTAAAATGGCTGTTGCGGCTAGAGAATTATTTTTCCTTGTTGTACCGGCGTTTTGACATTGGCCATTTTACTATATTATTGTGGGACGACTGCTGCGGGACAAGCAGTATACCTGTCTATCGCCGCTAGTGACCAAGGGCCACAGCGCGCCGGCTTAAAGGTCACCCGTACCACCCATAACAGCTAGCTGCAACACGACAGCGCATGTGTATTTATCGCTGCTTCTAATCAGCTCAAGGTTTATTAACACTTCCTTGAAAACGTGCAAAAACGCTTGGTCTACCACAACTGCAAATTTGCTCTTCTCAAGACCTCAAATAATTATAAAGGGGGAAAGTTAACGTTTCTTAATTTACATCGATAGTTTTCTGGTATAATTTAGATATGAATATTTGGCATGTTAGCCACGGCAAATGCTTGTAGCAAAAAAATAGTGTGGCATTGTACGCCGTAACGTGGAGATCGGCGGAACCGGGAATTTTTCACTATTGCTGTGTTGATGCAATAGACATTATGGGACAAGCCTGTACATTGCATACGCGTCCTGCAACATAATAATAAACAGTGCAATATACTGTAAGACGAGCTGGAAGAGTGATTCTATTTGTTCTATCTAGCTGACCTTTTGAATTTAAGTGAAAGTGCAATACAGTGTTGTTTATATTACTTACTTGTAAGGTTGTAACAGTGTTGGAACTTATGCGATTTGGTCGGTACATGGTGTTTTCATGGTTACGAAACGTTAGCAAATGTACCTCAACAGAATGAATGACCAAGTGGCAGAACGAGTGGGGAATTGAGGTGTGTATCAGCTACTTATGTTTTATTACTATGGATTCTGTATGTCGCATGATTGTTGTTCTTCTGCTAGCCTTCTTGCTCGGTTCTTTGGATGGAGGCAGCGAGAGTGGATCAATAATAATAATATTTAATCCATTTTTCCCTGCATAAGAAAACCAGTACAATGTATATATAACAAAAAACAGTGCGGATAACAGATTTGCCCCTTCTAACAGGGGATGAACGGCTAGTTCACCCCTGTGCGCGAACAGTTTAACGGAAACTGAACGCCAACACACTGCACACTTTATCGCTCTCACATACAACATCTCAACCAGGAGCTGCAAAAGGAAAAGCATCCAGCTCAGACGACGAAATCTAGCACTGAAAAATCTACCAGATTTAGAATCTGGTAGATGGAGAAAAACACGGCAAAAACAGCAAAACAACCTAGCAGCCGCCTGTGCGCGGGTGAACGGAGAGGCCACTCCTCCTCACATGCCTGCGGGTGGATCCCATGAGGTCCTCCGAATGCATCGCGCGGCGTCGCGAACTCCCCTCCATGTCTTCCCGGGCGTCCTTGCTGCCCATTGGGGCTTTAAGCCTCAGCTCGTCCGTCCACACAGCCGATGCGCATCCTTCACACTGCAGGCACGGGCCGTGCCTGCGGTTCTGGAAAAGCGGACACACAGTGTAAGCACCTTGCTTAAAACGCACCTTCGCGTAAAAACTGCATCCGCTGACGTCACCGGTGCCTGCGGTACTGGATAGACGTCACATACGGCTGGCTTCACATCGGCTCGGCTCACGGTTCGCTTCGGTACGGCTTGATTCCGGTCCACTTTGACCTGCTTTGCGTTGTCTGGGTCAATGCACTGGCTGCAACGACATCCAGCGTCCAACCAGGAAATGGGTGAATTCCATTCTTTTTTCAGTAGGAAAGGTCACGTTCTGAGGAAAATCGGGCAGGGGTTTGTGGCATTGGAACGCTGGTGACCCTGCAAACACCAAAATACGATTCTTCGGTGGGGAAATTCCTCTGCATCCGTCCGGGAAAGGTCGTCATCCCAGGAAAAACGGGCCGGGCAGAGGTTTGGGGCTATCTGACACTGGTGACCCTGTGGGGCAGCTCACTGGTACTTCTGCGATGGCAGGGTTCACGTGGGCTTCGGTGAATGGCAGTCCTGGAGCTGCTACGGACTGGAGTTGGCCTTGTCGTCGCTGGCTGCTGCTGACATCATCCTTCACGTCCTTCTTCACCCTCTCCATCACCGCGCTTCGCGATGTGGTATTCCTCCGGCCTCCGGCGGGGGTCATTCCTCCCGTCCATCGTCGTATCCGGGGCTGCCGCTTCGGCAAAGTGAACTTTCACTAGGGGCGTCAGACGTCGCACTTGGGGCTCGAAAGGGTGCACATGGTTCTTCCGAGATCTGCTACCATCTAACAGGGGATGAACGGCTAGTTCACCCCTGTGCGCGAACAGTTTAACGGAAACTGAACGCCAACACACTGCACACTTTATCGCTCTCACATACAACATCTCAAAGGCCACCGCAGCACCTTGCTGCGGGGCAAAAAGGAAAAAGCATCCAGCTCAGACGACGAAATCTAGCAACTGAAAAATCTACCAGATTTAGAATCTGGTAGATGGAGAAAAACACGGCAAAAACAGCAAAACAACCTAGCAGCCGCCTGTGCGCGGGTGAACGGAGAGGCCACTCCTCCTCACACCCTCATGCCGCCAATCTTTTATGCCGTAGTCAGTCATTTTTCAGGACAATCAGGAATGTACGGTAATTGAATGATCACTGTACGAGACGACGAGTACATGACATTTTGTACAGTATGCGTCATACGGGTTCCAGAGCACACGATGCGAGTTGAAGCGTCACTACCGTATTAACTGTCGTACAACATCCGTTGCATTCTGCTAACTGGCAGGTGGCAATGTAACGACATTGACAGCGAACGGTTTTCTAGGTAGACTCGAATTATTCTTCGTTATCTCATAATCTTTCTACAATGTCATGTTGTTAATTTTACCGTGAGGTCCTGTCGCACGTTGTACATGTACAAAAGTCTTGCGACAGAATGGACTTATAACTGAATTAATTAGAGGCGGCATGCAGATTTATCCATGTTCGAGCCTTCGAGATAAATAGAGTGTATGCTCCGTACTGCAACAGAAATCACGACGCCGAAGCCATCTGTGTACCCTGTACTCTGGATGCTGTACCCTGCAGCACTGAAGCACACAACACGCAGCATTTTATCGTATTCAAAACCTTTAGCCAATTACAGATAGGCAGTATTATTTGCTTGTATTCCAATTCAGAAGCCGAAAGCACTTTCCAGACAAAACTTTGAATGATAATAATTTCTGCAGAAGATGACTATATACACGTACTACAGCGTTATTCGGGCCGAGCAGTTGCGTACAGCCCAAAATCAGCCAGCGCCGTGATACAGCATCTTTAGTAGGGTAAGTTCGTCACTTCGTACAACACCCTGACAGCTAGACGAATTTCTAGCATACTAAAACGATTCTCTTAAAGCATCTCAGCTGGAATTACTTATATACATGTGTATTTATATATTCGTTTTATCACATGTATATTTCTATATGCCCAGGCGCAGTAATCGCAACGGGAACGGCAATCCGCCGGGCTGGACACTGGCCAACGCGATGGTCTTTCAAGAGGGTCCGGCAGGCGCTGGGCCTGGACCGCTGCATCTTCAATGTGGTGTCTGCTTCACGGCAGATCTGCATGTACGGTCAGCACATCGTCATGAACCTGCATTTTACTGGAGTAATCACTTTCTCTGAAGCAAAAGTGCTTGATTTTGTCGTGATTGGTCATACAAAGTTCTGTGCTGGTATTTTGATGCATGTTATTTACAGAATAAAATCCGGTATAGCAACTCCGCTCTTCCATTTTTTTTTGGTTAAATTTCTGTGCAACAATTAGAAGAACGTTTTGCACTCCTGCGCTCCGTCCGTGTCCCATGGACGAAGCCGCATCGATCAGTCGGCATTTTGTGTTGAAATAAATAGCCATAGATTTATCAGTTGTATGGTGTTGGGCGGCTATGAAGCTGAAGGATCCGCGACGTGTCCCATGTACACAATGTAATCAAGATCCCGGTGACGTATTAGGAAAATGAACGGTCGGTCGGCGATAAACTCGCCGTTATACGGCATAAAGTTGTCCATTTGGTCCATTATGGTTAACTGCTTATTGATGGGTGGTGTTTCCGTACCGTATTCGTCAACATCTAGAAAATGCAATCCTGGAATCCAGTTAGTGTTTCCTCCGATACCAAAAGTTTTATTAGATTTCCCAAAATCTGTTGTCTTCATAACACATTTTTTTATTTGTCAGAAATTTTCGTCAGCAGTGACAACGAAGCTACACGAATTTCAAGCGAAAAATCGGTTGCAAACGGTGCTTAGTGGAAAAGTTGCCATACCTATTCTGACTTTTTGAAGGACACTGTTAATACAAAACGGTGATGTTTCCGCCATTTCAGAAAAATCCGCCGAGTCATCCAGTGCCGTCACAAGGCCCAGTTCTCGCAGTATTGGACACAGCTCTATATTGCGTTCCATTCGAAATTTCGGCATTTGAATCTCCACCTCCTGCACCACTTTATTACGCATGTTTTTCAAAATTTCTGCTAACTTAACATCCGTCAGCAAACTAGTGAGCTCCTCCAAGCTGTGCTGGCGCTTCTGCATCCAAGGAAACCGTCTTGTAAGACCGGGCAGTATAAAAATCGCTTTCCAAAAACCTTCTGCAAAGGGCACTTCAAGAAATTTGGCCCCGCCCATGTCCTCCGGTGTCCAGCAGGGGCATTTCAGAATAATATGCATCGTGTCCACGGAAACACGGCCTCCGTCCGCCGTTGTGAAAGTTTTCTTTAGGGTTTTTGCCGTGCTAAAGGGCCGCCGCCAACTTGACTGGAAATGGAGTGCATTGAAGATTCTGCAGGTGGAAATTTCTGACAGACTGGAAAATAAATCCGTCTCGCTCATTTTGCCCTTGGTTTGTTCTTGTAAATAACGGTTGAATATTTCATTGCGCCTGGTACCGGAGGTTTCCAAGTTAACCACTTTAAATATCTTGTTGATTTCTTCCATGTAAAACGGTTTTATAATGTCGCTTTGTGCGGTAAGCAGAACGTTGGCCAGGTACAAGCGAAAATTTTCGTCCCTACCTAGAAGTGAATCTGCTTTAAGATATACCTTATGGCATAGACGTTTCAAGCGAATAGATTATCTATATTTTATTAAGTAAACACATACGGTACCTCTGAATCGTCAAATTAAAAGCAACCTCAATAACTCTGCAGTTTCGAACGGTAAATTGAAACGGTGAACGCATAGGCTTTCACAACGGCCAAGAGAAAAGTAAATAATTGAGTAAATATTTGAGTCTGAGAAATAAGTAAATATTTGAGTCTGAGAATTTCTGCAATGAAGATTTACGAAAGGATTGCAGATCAAAAAAGGCTTACTTTAATAATATAATGACCTTCAAACAACTAACGGCTACGTGACAAGTCGTCGCGGGACATTTCGTCGCGGGACATTTCGTCAAGGACACTTCGTCTAAAGGACTTTTGGTCGAGGGACAACTGGTGTTAGGATGTTTCGTTACAAGGACAACTCGTTTTGGGACACTTCGTTGTCGTGACAGTTTGTAGCAAATGTACTCGTTGCTTACTTAACTGGTACATTTCGTCGCATGGATAAATCGCCGCATGGACTTTTCGTTGCGCCGCATTTTTTTGGGTTTTGGATTGGCACGGAACTGTTGATTGCTTGCGCAATTTGGCGTGTTTGTCCAAGGTCACCTGCCGCTTTCTGACGCAAATCCATGTGTGAAGTGTGTGCAATTATGGCAGCACGGTCACCTGTATGGCTGTGAACTTTGGTAACAGTGAGTGCGTTGTCAAGCAGGCGCACGCGACCATTGCACGAACGGTCTTTACATCGCCAAAACTGGGCAGTATTGACCTTTCGTTCCAGCGTATACATAAAATAATCATGTATTAATAGCTTCCCACCACGAATGGTCGAAGAAAAACTGTATTCAGCCATGATATTTAAAAACTGAACGAAATGAATCAAAAGGTCAAATGTGTTGAAGTTCGCGCTTTAGTTAAAAAAACTAGCAAAATAGTGTAATTATCTTGGAAGCACCGTTGTCGTAAGTTTTTTGAAGTGTGATCTTGGCGCGATTCCGCGTCGACTTTTGAAAACATTAAACCAGAGTTGCCCGTCTTTTACAATCGTAAGAGTGAAAGAGCAACTGCAAGTCAGAAAGAGAAAGTCATTGTTAAATTTTATTGCTGTTCAGCAGTAAACGACTTGATCCTAATTCTTTTTGTATCTTATAGGTCTCAATGTGTGGAAACGGAGACTCGTTCGGTCCAGCCCCTCTATCACATAATCAAAGTGAGTGATGGGAACTGGAACTACATCATTGTTCGGGTAAAGGAAAGTGAGGGTGACTGTCCGTGCTGTGATTTCTCTGTGAATGAGCTCCAGATAGAGAGTCTGTTAGAAGCCGGAGATAGACAACCGGGATAAATAACCAAAATGGTTGTCGCTTGGTTGTTATCTCTGCTTTATTTTTGCCAGTGAAAGTGCAAAAACTAGGTTGATTTATTAGTGTATATTTGTTATTTAATACCACGTAGTGACGTAATGAGTAGCAGATGGATTAGTATAGTCACTATAGTATATCACAATTATTACGTCGTAAGTGTTTTAAGAAAGGCACTATGTACAAATCACTGAAATCAGCAACTTAAATTTGTGTATCATCTATTTAAAATGTAAGACTACGGTTTCAAAAATTTAAAAATATACAGAAATGTGTAATCTTACATGCCGGTCTCAATAAAATTTATTCAAAGCCAAACGACGGCGTTTTTAAACTGAAAATAAAGTTTTTCTTTTAAAATAATTGGCTATCTAATTGTCCCGCCGACGAAATGTCTGGCCCCGATGTGTCCGTGTTACCGGATGTCTCGCAACCAAATGTCTCCCGACCAAAATGACTAGCAACGACTTGTCCAGAAACTAAATGTCTTCGGGACCAAATGTGGCCGACGAAGTGTCCCGCGACGAGATTTTATGCGACAACTTGGTCGGTCACGCAACTAACGATTGGGCTTATCATTATCGCCCCTGGATGACAAATTTCCCGTCATTCAGTATGGAGGGCGGCTACGGGACCTTAGTCTGGTAGATTGTTGTTCTCCAGAGGCTGTGTGGTGGCAGCTGTCCCGTTGACATCCAGCGACACGCCAGTGGAGTACCCGTAAGTCTCCAGCTCAATTCTCCTTACCACGCGTGTCTGTCGTGGAAATTTGATGTCATGCCTCAGTTTACTTGTTCTGGATGCGGTAAATTATTACAGGGTTGGGGAACACACAGACGTTCGTGTCCCAAAACTTTGTCGCAAGACCCCGAACTGATTCCAGTAGCGACCCAACAGTCTCCTACTCAAACCTCTTCTGCGCCTGTTACATCCAACCAGTCCGCCCATCATTCTGCATCCGGACTAGCGCCGACGAATGAGCGAATCACCCGCAGGGTTCAACACGGTGCTCGTGGGGCTGTAGCTGCGTCGTTTGAGAAAGCCGTCAAAAATACCGTGCAGAACAATGATGAGCCCCAGTGGCAAAAGGTGCTATTTTTTCCGACGCAGGTTGTATCTGTACCAGAAAATCCCAACTGCGCTCGCAAAGCCTCACTTGCCACAACTATCAAGCAAGCGGTAGCGGATTACGAAAGTGGTAAGAAACGTCCTCCGTCAGCGCGAAAACGAAAGAAACCAAAGAAACCTAAGGACCCCAACAGTGATCTAGTGAGACGTGGAGGAACAAGGATTGACGATTGTTCGGGAGCCGTGCGCATTCTCATGTCCACTGACTCTATAGCCGAAACGTCGCGTGAGGTCTTGGAAGTCATGTCAAAGAAGCATCCTGAATCTCCTCTACCTAACAGTCCCGCAACCACTGCATCAGCACCTCCAGTTACTTCTGACGAAGTGTGCCAAGCCATCATGAGTTTTCGACGCAGGTCGGCTGCAGGACCAGACGGACTCCTACCACAGCATCTCCTTGACATGATCGGAAAGACGAAAGACGATGTCTCAGTGAGTTTCGGTAACAACCTGGCCCAGTTATTGGATATCGTCATCCAGGGTAAAGTTCCTGACTGTATCCGTCCATATTCTGCGGTGCCAAGCTTATCGTTCTGCAGAAAAAAGATGGCGGCCTGCGTCCTATCGCTATTGGGAACACCCTGAGGCGGTTGGTAGCAAAAGTAACCTGCAGTCGTGTGAAAGAGCGCACTATAACAACACTACAGCCAAGTCAAATGGGTTTCGGTACTAAAGGGGGATCGGAAGCCATTGTCCATTCAGCACGGGAATTTTTAACAAATAAATCGGACAATGTGCGGGTTCTTCTAAAGATAGACCTTAAAAATGCTTTTAACTGCATCTCTCGCGCTACCATCATCGAAGTTGCCAGCACTCACCTTCCGGAGTATGCTAGTTACCTGCACGCCTGTTACGGCCATTATACTGATCTTTATATCGATGACGAGATTTTGTCTTCTCAAAGCAGTGTCCACCAAGGTGATCCACTGGGCCCACTTTTGTTCTCACTAGGGATACTTCCAATAACATACTCCCTTAAGTCTCCATTCAATGCATGGTTCCTCGACGACGGAACTATGGGTGGGCAGATCGAGACAGTTGCCGAAGATTTTCAGACGATCATCGATGCCGCACGGTCAATCGGTCTAAGTGTCAACATGTCAAAGTGCGAAATTTTTGTTAGCGGAGGAAGCACTGAAGATCATAAGACCGCTGCCAGTGCATTTCTAACCCGGTTCCCGGGAGTTACAGTCGCTGCACTAGAGAACCTGTGTTTACTTGGTGCCCCACTTTTGAAGGACGGAATCAAGACTGCGATGCAACAAAAGACGGAAGTGTTGCGCCTTATAACCAGCCGCCTCGACCTTTTACCCAAGCACCAAGCGTACTTTCTGCTGAAATGCAGCCTCAGTGCACCGAAGGTTCTTCACCTACTGCGGTGTTGTCCAACCTTTGAAGTACGTGACAGCCTTACTGAGTTTGATGAAGTCCTTTGGGAGTCGTTACAGTCCATTTGCAATGTCCGCATGAACTCATCCGCGTGGCGTCAGGCTTCCTTGCCAGTTCGCTGTGAATGACTTGGAATCCGACGGGTAGAAGAATTATCACTGCCGGCATATTTGGCCTCGATTCCCGCTACCCAGAGTCTGGTTTCCCAGCTGCTGCCGTACTCAGCGGGTGTTGACGCGAACAACCATACCACGCTTTGGAGCTATCTCTCTGACGACGCTTCACCGCCTCTTCCCGAAAGCAGACATTTGCAACGTGCATGGGATACGCCGTACTGTTTAGCTGAGCAAGCAATCTTGTTGTACGAGACTCCAGATGCAGCCAACAAGGCACGGCTGTTGGCAGTCTCAACACCTGAGTCAGGTGTCTGGACACACGCTCTTCCCTCTTCGCCAATCGGAAACCTGTTAGGTGACGGAGCCTTTCGCATCGCCGTTGCCATTCGACTTGGCGCACCTGCTTCCTCCGAACATCAGTGCAGGTGCGGTGCCGTAGTCGCCGCCGATGGCCATCATGGTTTAAGTTGCGAATTTTCTGCTGGAAGACGGGCAAGACACGACTGCATTAACGATATCTGGCGACGGGCTTTGATTTCGGCAGGCACCCCGCGCGAACGGAACCCCGAGGCATGCATCACGAAAACGAAACACGCCCAGACGGAATCACTACTTTCCCCTGGACCAGAGGGCTATGTTTAGCGTGGGATGTAACCGTTGTCGATACCGTTGCCCGCTCTTACTTGGATCACACCAGCGTAAAGTCCGGATCGGCAGCCGACCAAGCTGAAGCCGAAAAAGTGAGAAAATACAGCTTTCTGTCCGGGCGATATGGTTTGCCGCTGTTGGTTTGGAAACTTTTGGTAGTTTTGGTACATCAGCTAAGAAACTGTTTAAAGAGGTCGGAAAGAGAAATGAGCAACAAACAGGCGAGACGCGCAGCCATGAGTTTTTAAGGCAGAACATTTCTTTAGCTATTCAAAGAGGTAATGCCGCTTTTGTTATTGGTACTGTAGAAAATGCTGCTATGTTTAATTGAAACTGAACCTTGATATTGTTATCGCGTTATGGAAATAAAGTCATCTCTCAATAATTGAGAAGGTAAAGGAGCGGCGAAGGTAAACTTGGCCGACCCGCATGTTTCATATATAGTTAGGTATCCTTGTATAGACCAAGTAGTGAGCCACTGTGTTAAAAGATACTGACTGCATCCCGAGTAGTGAGCCATCCAGTTTTCTAAGTCGATTTTTTTCTTGATGTTGTTTTTCTTTATCGGTTCTTTGTGGCTTAATGAACTTATTAGCGTTGCCAGATTGAAAAAAAATTTTCGAAATCTTACAAGAATTTTCAAAACAAGTATCACGGTGGACTTTGGGGCCCAGGGCCCGTTTTTCGAATACTCGTGCGGTCGCGGTTCAAAGCAAGGGGGAAACGGTCTTTTGCTTTCAAACGATGTATTCTTGGTAATTCATTCTCCCTCATTCCGAATCTGAGATTAGAAAAATTATGGGGAAGACTCCGCACACCATGTTTCACCACCAAAGTCTCCCCACACCACGAAACACCACCGCCAGGCTCCGCACACCACTTTTTATTAGTTTTTAATTTTTTTAAAAAAGCCACCTAGATCTCCTAACACCACCATAAACATCCTGCACACCACCAGAGTCTCTGCACGTGCACACCACTATTTTGAAAGAAAATTTAGTAATTGTTATTACGGGCGAAAAAAGACAGCTCTTTCGTCTCGCGGTGGGTGACTGGTCGTGACCCTATTCCTCTTGGGATATAACGGGTGTTGTGTGCGCATTACCGTTTGATCTGATGTATTTGTATTGTAAATCTTTCGCACAATCGTCGGCTGCTGGTAACCTTTCGGAGCGACGAGTTTGGAAGACCGTAAAAGTCTCTTTTTCGCATCTGGCAGTAGCAGCCTCCTAGGCTGCCTAAGAGGCGAAACTCATTCCGAAACGCAGGTGTTCGCTCTCGTGGCCATTTTCGTCGCGATCATCAGAGTAAGAAGTACGCGACATTTTTTAGTATGGCGATCGACCAAGAACGACTTTTTGATTAAAAGTATCACAAATAGTTTATGGTTAATTGTAGCTGCAAAGAACTTTCTGTGCTCACTTGCAAATTATGCTTGCTGTTTAGTCAACGCTTGCCCTTCGCTATAATTATTAAAAATCCAAAACATTGTAACTTAGATACACCCAAGTATGCTTAGTAAAGTACTGCTCCCTGTACGAACACAGAAATTACAATACATAGCCCATATTAGTCGTATATACGACCGACCACTGCATATCTTCGTAACTACGGCCTCGTCCCGAATTCAAAGCGAATCTCGTTGCGATACAGCAACTGCACCTCGCGAGGTGGCTTCGCGTACCGTATCGGTAGGCGTGGCCACTGCATACAGCCACCTCGTGCGGTTGAGCAACTGTACCATAGCGAGATTCGCTTTGAATTCGGGACAAGGCCTACGAGTAAAATGTGGTGTCTCGAGACTACCGACGTTTGCAATTATACTTATTGCTGGCGTAAAAATGGTGGCCGGAGACAAAACGTGGTGCGAATTGTGGTATGCGGAGCCTGGTGGTGGTGAAAGGTGGTGTGTGGAGACTTTGTTGGCAAAACATGGTGTGCGCAGCTACAAGCCCATCCAACAATTCTTTGACCGCTGTAAGCGCAGCGCATATAAATCGCGCACAGTAATGCAAATACGCATCATAGTGTAGTGGCAGATATATTTATAAATATTCAACCAATAATAATCTATTAGATCACAATTAATAGACCGTTATTAGACCAACGTGGAATCAATCATCTTTAGCCCGGGCATGTTGCAATCCCACGAAATTACAGCTTTTTGCAGCACGGTGCAGTAATTTGAAAGTAATATGGATATTAAGTACCACCGCGATATTGTATTGCAAAGCAAAGATAATACTGTTACAAAAGCATAAAATTAATATAAATTATGATGGCAATAAATAATGCTAAACATATTACATTGTATATCTCAGATACAGTAACTGCATGCAGATTTGTTGCTTATTCACGCTGAATACGCAGACCCATGTGGCGTGACGTGTCGAAGCACATTAAATGGCTCAAGCCCACGTTTCTTTAAATTCCCGCTTACAGCGGTCAAAGAATTGTTGGATGGGCTTGTATCTCTAAAAATTATTTGTTCGTGTCGTCGCAAGATTTGTAAGACGCATTTCTTTATAAGCTTACACTTAGAAAGACAAAACACAGTGTGCATGGCTCATAAAGTTGGAAAATCTTGTGACGGAACAGCAAATAATTTCTCGTACGTGGCTCTGAAAATTGTTTTAAAAGCGCAGAATTTAAAAGCCGAAATTAAAAGTGCAACACTAGTTTGCTTCTATTTTTCACCGTTTGTACAAAGTTCTCCACGTTATACAAATTATTTCGTTATTTGCATAACGAAATCTATCCAAATGCAACGGGGAATCGCGATATGTGTTATGGGTCCTCTCCCCGATCAGGACAGCGTTGAAGAAGTGCTTTTGTTATGAATTCTCGTCTTTTTTAGTACTCAGTTTGTACTTACATGCGATACTTATTAAACGCTGTTGGGGATATGAAAAATAAATTTCGTTCGTGTGACCGTGTCATACGAATTATTCGTATATTACTTGTATATTACTCGTATATTATTCGTGAGCCTGCCAAATATATGCATGTTCATTAGTTCATATTCGGAATATGAACTAATGAACATGCATATATTTGGCAGGCTGCAGAGTGCAGACATTTTCGACCTGAAAACAAGAGAACAAAATAAATAAAATTTGGAACAGTTTTCAGAACTTTTGCTACAGCTGCCTTCTTTTGGTTGCATAACTTGCATTCATACAACTGGGTCTAGACCCACATGAAAAACCGCATTAATCGGCATTATAATAAGAAAATTCTAGAGTACGAGTAAAATTGGGTCTCGTTTTTCCTTTACTTGAGGTTACCGGATCGGGAAATGTTTCGTACTTGTAATATCTCTTAGGCAAGCTAAGTAGTCTGTACCGACTGGCGCGCCTATGCTGCACTCCCCCTTCATTTTTGGAGAAAGCCACTTTTACATAAATTTACTGGGATTATTCCCGGATGCTGCCAGTTAAGCTCACTAAGAGCCTGCTTATTAATTTATCTAGTAATAATCTATCTGGAAATAATTTCGATTCATAATTATCACAGTATTAACCAGACACTACTGCTACAAAGTTAGGTGATTAATAATTGTGATTACTGCGAGGATTGCTGGGATCGCAGTTATCATCTTCTTCCTCCATCATCTGATGCAAATCCTTGGCCATCTTTCCCGCCATGAAACGCACATCCGTATCCAATAAATCGGATATTTCCTGTTGTGCCTTCCCAACTGCACCGGCATGCAGCATTATCAAAGCCATTTCGGCAGAAAATGGAGAAAAAACTAAATTCCGGGACGAAGTTGTCTGCTTAGCACAGTTTTTGTACAGGTTGATGCACATTTTGAGATGGGCACTGGATGGATGTGATGAAGTTGCCATGATAATGCACAAGCGAGTTTGATTCAAACTAATCAGTTTAGCGATCAGCTAAACTTCTACCGCATGTACAATTGAAGATTTTGCAAATCTTTTTCAATAATATCCATGTCAATTAATTTTGACGTCGGATGATAACTTGGGTTCACCAATAAACAGCAGCAGAAAGTTAACCGCAAGTAATGCGTAAAAAGAAGGTTTTCCGGGATTTGTGTTGTACGTTGCTCATAGTTCATCGTATTGCATGTCTCTGTCAAACTGGCAGGCAACATCGCTGTGTTTGCGTTTCCTGTCAGGCCTGGCTCGCAGATACTTTGCATGCTATTACTGCGTGCCGGCAGGGACGATCAATATCCATCCGTTAGCAGAAAACCTTGCATTTACGTCGCATGAGTGAACCGTCCTTTAATACTACTCACTAGAGCGCGGTTTCTGGTTTATCAGCTGTATGTATCCTGATTCATACAGCCTAACGTAAAGTTGTCCCGCAACGAAGGATCAGAATCTCGTATGTATTCTTTACAGGCGTCAAGTGCACTATTGGCGGCGTGTTGTACAGATATTGGTGCCGCTCTGTTTTAGGCTTTTAGCACAGAACGCATGACATCGTTCGGTACAGAGCTTGTATGCAAGAATGAACGATGGATACGAGTATGCCAGATGCTTACTCGTATGCTCCATGGCTATGAATATTTCGACCAGAACGCTGGTAAACATTAATGCTGATTCCATAGAGTACGCCCGGTACGGTAGAAGTTAAAACTGCAGAGTGCTCATTTATATCATACCAAGCTACTGGAAAATTTTTTTGGTTAATTTAAAAAAATTTTGTACTTTCTTTGGTTTGATTTGATGAAATTAAGTTATCCAACCATTAATTAATGGTTTGGGCTAATGGCGCCACATGTGAGTCAACGGACCTTTTGTTCGATTTTTATTACATTTGGCTACGGACACCACAGGAAGTCATTTGACTCCGGTCATACACGTCGGTGTACTCCGCGCGTAGGTCAAACGGTTTTTTTTTTGTGCCTTTATCCTTCTGATTTTGGCGCTCTCTTCTGCGCTGGATCGTTTCGAGCTGAAGTGTTGCATACATCTGAATCAACTCAATCAAGGTGATCGTCTGAAACGTCTACATCGGCGCTTAAAGGCGCGTTTTTCATCTGCCGACTTGCTAAGGCATTCGAGAAGATCTTCGATTACGGTCCGAAATCGGGTTAACTCGGTTGTGACAGCAGAGCCGGCGGTAGTCGGGACAATGTCCCTTCAAGCGGCGGCCTAGTCGAAATTAAATTGTACAAAATTAAACCAACAGAATAGAGTGACATTCAGTAAAATTCCCAATAAAGCTATAACAAATTATAAAAATGTAAACAGGTACCGTGCTCGTAGTAACCGAAGCAGAACATTTATCACGTTGAAATTATTCACTGGGGAAAGCTGCGTATCTTGGCGGAACGAGCTTCTGTAGATGCAGCGCGTCCTCGCTGGATTTCTATGCTGATCCGTTGATGCAAATCCTCTGTTGCTCGTATTTCGCCTGTTTGTTGCCGTCCTGCTGGATCATCTTCCCGCGGACACCTACCAGCCGAAATCGAGGCATATGGTCCGAATGGTGCTTGCCGCATAAGACCTTGCCAGTTGCCTCCTGCGAGGAAAGAAGCGGCTCACAGACAGCGATAAAGTCTTTCAAAGGATTTCAACGTATTGCGCCGTGGTGCAATGGTACTGCATACGCGGATCTAACGACGCAGCCGGGGTTCGATTCCCCCATCGGTGCATTTTTCGGCCCTTTCTCGGTTTCCTTCGACTTGCGCCCTGCTTATTCCTCCTAAACCCTAGCGGCGACAACCAGCCATCTTGGACGTGATGCTGCGATATTTCTCCGGTCACTCTCCGCTCGGCTAGCGCTGCTGCTGCTCCGACAGGTCCGCGTGCCAGTCGCCGCGATATTCGACCATTACAGCCATCATGGCCACGGGTATATCACTTGCGATAGGTTTTGTTAGGCAGAGCAAGAAGTACAGTATTTGACAATGGCCTCACGATTTCCTCCGCCACCGGCATACAACAGGGTGATCCTGGTGGAGCCCTGTTATATTGCCTTGCTGCTCAACCCATATCCACCAATTTAACGTCGGAGCTCGGTGTGTTTCTTCCTCGATGATAGGGCTCTGGGAGGAAAGGTGGAGCACGTGGAAAATGATTTGCTCAAAATCATTGCGGAGGGTCAACACGCTGGACTGGAGTTAAACCCTGGAAAGTGCGAGTTATTCGTACTGGGAGGTTCCGACATTGAACGCAAAAACATTGTGAACAGGCTTCATGCAATCGCCCCCGGGGCAGTTGTACTGAAGCCTGAAATGGTAAATTTATTTGGTGCACCACTTACTTCGGAAGCTCTAATTGTCTGCTTACAAAAACAATTGCTGCCCTGAAGTTGCTTCTAGGTCGCCTAATGTTAATAAGCGCCCACCATGCTTTCAACATCCTGCGGAACTGCCTTGTCATACCGAAACTGCTCTACACATTGCGATACAGTCCGTGTTGAAAAGCGCCTGCCTGCCTGGATGAGTTTGACGACTTGGTACGGGTCGCCTTGGAGACGATCACAAACACTCGTTTGCATGGACCCGTACTCCTGCAAGCGTCTTTCCATGTGGCAAGAGGAGGTCTCGGTTTCGGTGTCCGTCGGACGAAAGCGCTGGCTACTTCGGCCTTTTTGGCCTACGTGTTTTCCACCCGTACGCTGACGGCTGGGATTTTTGAAAGCTGCAGTGATGAGGCCATTGAGGCGGCGGTCGATTTGTGGAAGCGTCAGGCTGACTGTACCGATACACCACCAGAACCCGCTCGTGTGCACCACTGCGTTTGGGACCACGCAGTTTTGGAAAACGACACGAAGAAGATGTGGGCAGCGACAGGTACGGATGACCGAAATAAAGCGCGGCTAAACGCCATTAGCAGCAAATATGCCGGCGCGTGGCTAAATGCTCTGCCTTCAAATGTCTTTGGAAATTGGCTGGATGATCAACCATTCCGCATAAGCATCGGCTTATGGCTGGGTGCCAAAGTAGTCGAGCAGCACCGATGTAACAATTGCGGTAAGAATGTCGATGAAACAGGTTTTGGCGACCGTTTGCTCACGCTCCAACTGGGATCATTTTTTTATTTGATTAGTGAATATTGTTTTTGTGACGCTGTCCACCATACTCAAGGTTAATAAAATTTAATAAAAGCTGTATTTGACAACTGACACTCACTGACAGCTTACTGCAAGAATTAAGTAAGAGTACTCAAGTAAGTACTCGTACTATATTCAATTTGGTCTTTATGCAGCGGCGTAACGAGCGTAAGTAGCTGTGCTGAGCCATCACTCCATCAGCGTTTACTCTCTCTGTCACAACCTCCCCGTGGAGGTGGCCACTGGACGCCCAAATGGTAAGCTGGTCCTGGTTTCCTTGTGTCGAATATCGAATATACGTACTGCATGATCTGCATCTGCCAGCAAAAGCTGCGCGTGCGCTTGTTTAGGTTTGGGCCGGTTGGGCTGTGTGGTTATTAAAAATTTAGAACAAACGTTTTAGAACAAACGTGAGCTGTCGAATTAAGCCCGCGTATTTATTTTCTCTGTGTATTGTTGAATTATAATTATTGTTCTTATCACGTTGTGACGTTGTCGTTATTTTGCTGGCAGCCGCTGCAATCAGTGCAATGTATGCGCGCGGAGGGATAGAACTGTGCGTCTGCCTGTCACCCAGCTTGATCTGGTGGTGTTTCATGCTGCTGCGGCACTTCGCGACCGCCTCCGCTCCCTCATCTCCGCAGTCGCCACCCGTCAACCGTGAGTACCGTTTATCAACAAGAGCATAGTTTTTCTCCTTCACTTCTACGACTAGCTGACTATTTGTCCTGTGCGGAGCTCGTTCCCTGATCAGACATGCAGCCTGGCAACTGCGTCGACAGTCTGGCTAAAAATGCAGCTTTATTCATTTATGCAGTTATCAATGCTCTTGTGCGCAGGTTTTACTTTATTTGTATTTTTCCCTGCAAGTGTCAAATATGCTAGATAAGAGAAGTTTTTAAGTTTTTAAGATTATTACAGCGGCGGTGTGTCGAAATAAAAATCAATTTGGAGTCTCGTTGCTTTTCCAAGAATTTGGAGGTTGTTTCACAACCGAACCGGTCGTTGTGCGCTGAGAATTCTAACTGGGAGAAAAGACTAAAATTTCTTGAGATTCTGGACTTTGCGTCTCGCGAGAAAATTGCAGCGAATTATAAGATGAACTCGTTCAGTACGTGCTTGCAACCGGGCAGGTTCTTATGAATTAAAGAACGTTTTTTTTTTATTTCTTGGTTGGGTAGTTTTTTTCTCCATAAAAAAATTTAAAAAATATAAAATTTTCTAGAAACCTAAAACATTTCGCAATGGCGTGGTAATGTATCTCCATAAAAGGAGTTGGCTAATGTTGTGCATGGATAATAGCGAATTTCCGCTGTATTTCTGTAATTTTCTCGTGTACCAAGTACCAAGCACTACCAACCTGTTGCCGACTCCCCGGGGCGCGCCTTCTGGTGCCCCGGGGACGAGGTTGTTAACCGCGAAATTTCTTAGCGGTTCACCGGGGAAATTCGGAGAAGTCCCTGTTGAAAGTTTCTGAAAATATTCACTGTGGTGCAATTTTCAGAATTCGCGCCGTTTTCCAGCGTTGTAAGACAAGAAATACACGCGACGAAGTGGGTGAAATTGGCGATGCACCGGTGTAAAAAACATAATGGAGAATCTGCAGGAAAGTGTAATTTTTCGGTAATTAAAATATCTGCATTTTAGGCGCTTTTGCACTACTTTTATGCTCGCACGCGCATCAACAGGGAGCCGTCCGTTGTGGCAATTTACGTGATGCGGTTTTACTTGCGGTTCTTCTTTGGACGACAAACGAAGAGAAAAATTATAAGAAACGATTTATATTATGCTTTAAGTGCGTTGTTTGGAAGCACACTAATGCGAAATAAACTTGCCTCCAACGTGCGCTGAAAAATAACTACGCTACTGCAGTCAGGTAAATCGAACGTGCCGTTACGCAGGAGTGTTAGCAATATTAAATATATACGAGTCTTCTACTCGTAGTGATCGCTATAGTAGATTTCCGGCTTTCGGCTATTCCAACTTGTTGGCAAACAGCAGCCCCTCTGGCTGGCGGCTACTTGCAGAACAAACGTTTACGCTGGTGCTGGGTTTCCCGTTTTCCACGGCATCATAGTCTTGGGAATTACATTCGCCGTGACGACCTCCAGCCTGATTTTCAATTGATTTTGACGCATTTTTGAATTAATTTAGGGTGAGATTGTTTTGAAATGAATTTAAAAATTGAAAAAAATTAAAACAAATGAAAAAACGTTCAAAAATTTATTTGTCCAAATTTTTTGTTGTAAACTTATAATAAGAGGGTGACATACGATATTATGTATTCATAGCTTCCAGATTTTCAACAGACGGCATGGAATTTAATCGATTCATCCATTCAAAATTATTTTATTAAAAATAAAAAAAATATAATTTTTTATTTCATAACCGTTGGATTTCACGGTTTTGGCAATTCATAATTTTAAAATTAATTTGAGAAACGGTCCAATTTGTTTGGAAATTTTGAAAAACTCGTGGCTTTTAAAAGCACCATCCAGCAGGTGTCACTGTGTGCCAGTGTTCGCGGGCGGAGAAATAGCCACAGCAGATGCGCAGAAGGTCTTGTGCATGCCGATTTCATATAGGAACGTGTTCCGAATGGGTTCGAGGAAAAAATCGGACATTTGAAAGTCGAACATTTGGAAGACATTTGTTTTATAACTTTCTTGAATGAAAGTAAACAGGAACGTGTTCCGAATGAAGTGAACAGAACAAGGAACAAATTGACAACTGACTCATATTTTTAGTTAGCGAGATGCTGGCGGAGGCCCTGCTGCAGCCCCGAGACGACGACCGCGTGGTGCTGGCACAGCTGGCGCCCAGCCGATTCTTGGAGGGCAGCGTGGTGTCCCGACCGCGGTTGGGCGAGGACGCCGTGTTCCACTGCCACGTCCCCGTGGGCGTTGACTGGCGCGATGTGTCCTGGCTGCACGACAACTGGTCCGTCTTCCGAGGAGGATGGCCGCGAGCGCTTCCCGAGGAGGACACCACGGGACAGACCTACAGCTTCAGCGGGGTCAACCGCACCCTCATCCTCGTCGTCCGCGACGTCACCATGCGCTCCGGCGGCTCCGTGGACTGCGTCATCCCGCAGTACTCGCAATCCACCCGCAAGCCCCACCGCGAGTACCTTGCGCGCTTCCTGCTGCTGCCGCTGGTCACGCGCCGCAGCGAGGTCTTCGCCGCGGTCGACAAGACGTACGTGACCGCCATGGAGGGCGAGGAAGTGACGCTGCAGTGCAGCGTCTACCTGCCCCTTCCAGAACACATCTACGGGAATCTGCGCAGCCACTTCATTTGGGTGCACAATGGCCGCATCATCGATGGTCCCCGGGAGGAGCCGTACGGATGTCCGCCGTTAGCCGGGGAAGGACCGCGGGACGTCGAACCCTACCTCTACCCAGATCCCTCCAACAGCCCCGGACGGCTGGCCCATGCGCGCGTCCTTTTTCGGGCCGTCACGCTGGCCGATGCCGGGGACTTCCAGTGCTGGTTCCGACCGCACTACGCACTGCATGAATGGATCGTGCAGAATATTACGATGTTGGTTCTTCCCAAGAACAGCACGCAGTCTGGCGAGTAGCGGCATGGACCCAGTATGGGATCGACGCAATGTCCATGTTGAACGAAAAGTTGTATAAATGCAACCGATAATAAATAACTCGCAGTGCACTTTGCTGGCGGGACTGACCTTTCTTGCTCACTTATGGTACTCATACTTTCTTTCAGCCATTACGAAAACGATAAAGGGCGCTCCTGCATATATATTCAGCCTTTAATGTCATGTTGAGACAGTACAATATCGTGGACAGTTCACCGAAAGTATGATCAAAATAAATTTGTACATACCGTTAATCGGCAATAAGGAAAACCAGCTAGGGTAAGCCGACCTGCACATCACAGGCACTGTATCCCAATCCACACGAAATGGCAGCAATGCTCTGATTAATCCTTGGGCAAAAACACAAGCTCCGTCTCCCGCAATGGCCAGCGCATGGAGGCCAACGGAACTTCCATGTGCGGTGGCCATGGAAGTCTCGTTGGCCTCCGTGCGCCCTGTCACGATGCGGTCCTTGTGGCCCCACAGCAAGTACCGGTCCATGTTGTCATAGACGTACAGTGGTACCACGTTTATGACCACATAGACCAGTGCGTGGTCGGGAATCGGCCGCCGAATGCTGCAGGACAGGGCACTAGGGAACAGCCCTCGGTGGTGGTCAAGTGTGTGGGTAGTTCGTCGGCGAAGACCTCGCTGGCGCTGGTGATCAGCGGCTGCAGGAGGTAGCACTGTCTGGGTTCGTTGGGGTCGTCGGTGAGGTTGGCGGCCGGGTCCGGGTGCAACGGGACCGTGACGCACTCGACGAGACCGGTCGAGCGCGGCGTGACGTGGTGTATTGTCAGCGGGATGAAATCTGATCCGTATTTGGTACGTAGAGATCGCCGGTCCTAGTTGTGTCCCGCGGGATCAGGCGCGTCATAACAGGCTGGTTGGACCGGCACACCAGTCGACTTTGGTGCATGGCGTGAACGCTGTTGGGAGTGGTTATCCCTGGTGCATACAGCACCGGAATACGGCATCGGCGCTTAAGCGGGGTTGGGACACTGCGCGCAGGCCGACACGTCCCGCGTCAGGCGGGCGTGGTCAAAGTCCTTCAGCCTTGAAAGGCTGAAGGAAATTTACCACGTCCGTCTGACGACAGTGCATCATGTCCGGTAACACGCCCTCCACTATAAATAACAGCTAACAAGTGAGCTAGTTATATTTGTAGTCGCTTATTGCAGTATTTAGCTGCACGCGTGTGCCGGCAAGTGGCAACAGTTACTCGGAATGGCTGCATTGGCTGACTAACTATAAGACATAGCCGGGAATAACCATCACGATGTACTGGTATACATGTGATAAGAAATCGTTGCCGGCACAATTTTGGGCGCCAAATTTCCCGGCTCGGTTCAGCTGTTCAGTTAGCTGTGCCGGTGCACAATTAATTACGATGTGTCCAGTCTTCTTGCTTTTGGCCAGTTATTTATGTTCTATGCTGTACAGTCTGTGCCGGTACTCTGACGACTATGTTCAGTGACTTCGGTCACTCTGATATTACCGGAAATTAATTCTGTCACCAACACGCTTAACGCTATACTGTATCTGTACTGAGTGGGCGTGACACTGATCAAGAAAAACAGAAAAAACAACGGTGACCAATACAGAAAGGAAAAGAATTGTAGAAAAACGGGGTGTCGCGTAGCGTCTGCTGCGGGTCATTGCCGCGGTACGGCGACGTTGCAGATACCTCCGAAATAACCGGCGCCGATGATCATTTCCCTGCGCCCCCTACCACTCCGGTTTGATTTACCGGGAGGCCGTATTTTCCCGGATAAACTCGGCTCTACCGCCGAACCTGGCGAACAGTTACTTTTCTCGATTGTGAGGGGGAAATCTCCAACAATTTAATCCACAGAATCGTCGCTACATTTTTTTGCGTTGGAAAATAACTGCAAAATTCTGGCTCGATGTGGTAGTAATTTTTGGAAATTTGTAAGATATTATGGAATTTAGTTTTAATTAAATTTAAATTGGAAATGCATCATGGAAAAACTGAAAATTCATTTGAATACTGGCTGGTGAACTACAATGAAACTAATTCAAGGAGCGACTAAATAATTGAAGAGCATGCACGAATTGTGAACGTAATTCCGGTAGCTAAAGTAGAAAACTGGAAAAAAACTACTACACTAATAAATTAATTAATTCCAGAAATAAATTAATTTCTTGGTAAATTAATTTAATTTTTTCGTACGAAATTAATTTCTACTGCATTCGGTAATGTCCATCTGTCCAGCCGTCCGTTGGGCTTTTAATAAAAGCTACCGAGAAGCGACGGTGGTTACTGTGATAAAATAAATTGGGGTCGCCCATGCCAGTAAAGGCAGGGAACTGCAAACTCTTCATTACTCTGACAAAAGTCACCGCAAATAATATTATTATTCTTAAATTTTCTTTACGCACAGTGACTTACCGCTGTCTGGCATTGACCTTCGGCTGGGCAGACATCCTGCCGCGATTTCCAACATGCTGATCAGCAGTCCCACTAACTGACCAGCATGTTGGAATTCGCGGCAAGCCGGCATCGTTTCTCGCTTGCTAATATGTATAAGATTAGTTATTACGAGAAAGACAGCGGCAAAGCTATCCAAGGGAGCATTCGTAAATTCAGTGGTGAGTTTGTTTCACCAGTGTGGATACAAATCCAAAACAGTCCTTATCACAACAAAAAGAATTCGCTTGACGCTGCTATCCCTTCCATGGTTCCGAGTACGGAAGCGGCGTTGCCCCGTTGGATCTCCAAAGACCAGCGTTGACGAAAAAAACTCATGAGAACGAGGTTCGCCCGTATTTTCTGTTAAGACGCTTGCCAATTTCTTTTACTACGCTGATAGATGACTTTCCCCACGGGCCGTGCGTAGCCAGGCTATATGGATGATTAATGAGCCAGAGAGAGGGAAAGAGAGTGGCTAGGTGCCGGTTAGTTGAACGCTGCATCACGCGAAGTTTTCGCGCGGCCATAAGATCGCTTTGTGACCGCGGTCGCGGTCACGTAGCGATCATATGGCCGCGCGAAAACGTCGTGACTAACGGCAACAGCAGGAACTGCTGCAGGATGCGAGGAGGTGCCATGTGGGACTCGATAACGCATTGAAGTGGGCCGCCGGTTCGTATAGTCACGTTTAATATGACAATAATGAGGATGTTGGATTGCGTTCGGTCCTCCCAGGCAACCCGGTCTGCCGGCCCCCACTCGTCATTGACCACACACTGCTTGGGCGTCTGCCGGCTCGGTAGCGTTTGTTGATAGATAGTATTGCCCCAGTGAACACATGATACATTCCTGGCGGTCTTCGCATATGGAACTTGAGAGTGTGTGTGTGTTCCATAAGACATAAACAACTGTTACGCATTACCAGTCCGCAGAACGGAAAATGGCCCAGCCGAGGAACTGGCCCTAACATTGGTGCTGCCTTATCTACTGGATCAGTTACAAAGTACTCGTAACAAGTGAGCTGGTTACAATTTTAGCCGCTTATGGTTTTAGGTCTACCACTCCGTTCACAACCTTTCACAACGCAAATCATATCCCAAAATTGCTTTGTAAACCAATTTCAACATGGTTCGGGAAAATGAAAATTATTTGTGGAAATTATTTGAAAAGTTAAAAAAACATTATGGGAATTATTTGGATACTTATTTTCGGTTACAGACTACGCAGTACATTTTTGTTGTCATTTCAGTGAACAAGTTCATTCGAGGATACAATAATCCAAGAAACAACTCAGGAATTCAATGGCAGATTTCGACAACTTTAAAGTTGTCGAAAATTGTGAAAATTTTTACAATTACTTTGTGACAGTAAAAGACTATTCGTGTGTTAAACATGAAAAACATATTCTTTAAAACGCAGTACGCAACATATTCTTTAAAACGCAATTTTTGTTTCGCAAACCGGTAAATACAAAATTCAGTACTTCTAATACCGTTTTTACTGTACACGAAAGATTTTATTCTTCAATTATAGTCTGCATAGAGAATTTATTTCGTCAAAACCATTTTGTTTGTGCAAAGTTATTTACTTTGAGTGAAAGATCGTAGCCGAGTGTTGGTACTGCCAGCCGCGTTATATTTTGTTGCGGCTAATAGTAAATTCTTTAATTAATAATTTCCTTTTTCCAATCTGCACTTCTTACTTTACTTACTATTTACTTTTCACGATGCGGCTACTTTTACTTTCACTTACTATTTTTCTGTTTTGTGGCTTACTAAGTTTTTACTTAATCAGTAAAGCACAGAAGCAGCCTACTTACTAAGCAAGGTCTAGTATTTACTGTCACTACATATATACTTTATATATATATACATATTACATATGTACATATATATACATATATACGTTAATATATATATATATAAGGTATTTCAAGGAGACGAAATCAACACTGCGCGCCTGCTTGCCCAGTCTAGACCAGAAGCCGGAATTTGGTTGAACGCCTTGCCGTCCGCTCACATCGGCAATCTACTGGGGGACGACGAACTGAAGATCAGCATCGGCCTCCGACTCGGCGCCACGATCTGTGAACCGCACGACTGCGTCAAATGCCACAAACCCGTTGGTGGTTACGGGCACCACGGGTTATCGTGTGTTTTCTCCGCCGGACGGCATCCGCGCCACGGCGGGTTAAACAGCATCATTTGTAGGGCCTTTGTATCCGCTGGTGTGCCTGCAAAACTAGAGCCGCGCGGCACATCTCACACAAACGAACGCCGCCCGGATGGCTGCACGACATTCGCCTGGAAGCGCGGATTGTGTCTTGCATGGGACGTGACATGTGTAGACACGGTTGCGCTATCGCATCTTAAAGCCACTTCCACCACAGCGGGAGCGGCCGCTGCCCAGGCAGAAGGAAAGAAAGCAGGGCTATATTTGTATCTGACCGGCCGCTACCTATTCGTCCCGATCGCTTTCGAAACACTAGGCCCGTGGGGACCTTCGGCGATCGCCATCATCAAAGAGCTGGGAAAAAGACTGCAGCAGCACACCGGGGAAGCACGCTCGCACGAATTTCTGCGACAGCGTTTGTCCATCGAAATTCAGCGGGGAAATGCGGCTTCAGTGCTGGGCACGATGGAAGGGCTAGATAAACTAAACGAAATTTTTCT